CCCGCTAAATTTAGCGGGTAGCTGAATTAGTGTATAAGTCCCGTGGAATTTCGTCTGAAGTGGGCCATGCTTCAGACGGGGAAATTTCTCTCAGCAACTTGACGTCGCAACAACGCGGACCACCTGTGCTCACTTACACGCAGCGGCCGAATTGCTACGATTTGCTGTCATCATTATTAAATATTTATTTTCTTGCACTTTTTAAACACCAAGCGATGCTTTATAAAAGCGTTTTCATGTCTTTAAATGGCGTTTGGAATACTAACTCATCTTTCAGAAACGAGTAATGCAAAAAAATGATCCATTTCAACCAGAACCAAGTTTTTAGTTGTCATCATCACTACCGCAGGGGTTTCAAGTGAAAATATCGCGACTGATTGACTGCTCCCGCTTCAAACGTTTCCGAGTTGTCTGAGTTGCTCGTCCGTTTCGAACCAGACTCGATCCCAGCATTTCATATTGCAGCGCGAGGATCTAGGGAAAGCTAGGGAACAACTCGCCAGCAACACCGAAAATGCGGGGGAATTCTCCCGTCTATAGCGGGCCTAGGCAATAAACCAACTCTGGCTGTATTTCTGACAGTGCGTAGCAACTTGTCTTTCGCAGAAAGCCATAAAACAGTCCTATATGTGAAACCGGCTCGCTTGGTTTAGCTTGGGACTATGAAAGTGCCTTGTGGACTCTAAACAATCACGAGCTCGAGGATTTATAACGACGGTATTGAGGCAAGAAGCAGATTAAATATATAAAACTTTCCTCTGCGGAAAGTGGGTTCGGAAACTCGGAGCAGCACAACATTTCTTTGAAAGGAATTCAAGCGGCAACCATTATAACAACAAAAACAAAACCGTTACACGGCAGTAAAGTAGGCTAAAAGCAGCACAACGCCAAAAAACGTGGACAACAGAGCACACAACTTCTGCGTACATTTTTTTTTTTTTTTTTTCATTTTGATTTTGTTTTGTTTTAAACTAGGATGATTTACTCCCTACTTTGATTGGCTTCGAGTTCCGGATTTAATAGAATGAACACTGGTATCTGTTTTTCTTACGCTGTCCTGCGTTTTCCTACGTTATCCTACGTTACCCGAAGGCCTTTATTTATCCTGCTTTGACCGGCCAGTGAGCGATTCCTACGTATTCATACAGCAACTGCGGACGGTAGTTTATCCGACGTATCATCCTCAGCTTTCTTGTAGATGAACACCTTGCGCCCTCTCTCGCCTGCTCTTCTTAAAACGATGTAAAAAATAAATTCCAGTCGAATAAAAAATAAATTCCAGGATACCAATATACAGGAATAATACAAAAACAATCAATAGAAACTCGAACCATAGGGATGTGTACAATTTGTTCCTAAGCCATACTTTTTTTTTCTTCTTGCGTTGAGTTTTATGAATTTACTTTGCAAACGTTTTAATATCTTTAAACCACAATGAAGGAACGTAATATTCCCGGCGATTGTGATAGCGTAGGACTGACATCACGAATCAAAATAGAACTTTATTACCACGAATACTCGTTGTTCCTCGGGGCCTTTTCCTGCATTAGCCCCTGTAAGGCTCCCTTTTCCACGCATACATGGTGGTCGCATTGTTTCAGCTCAAGTCCAGACGCAGCCGATTCTACAAGCATGTGGCCCTAAACAGTGCTTGTACTGCATGAGCGCGCGTGCCTGGCAGGGACGCTGAAAGTCCGAGCTCGCTCTTGTAGCTTCTGCTGCGCTCACACGTGGAGCGAAAGTTGAAACGGAATAGAAGCGGAATTCACTGGATGCCATATTTGAAGGCGCTGTTTAGAGCGCACGCTCAGAATGAGCTCACATTAACAGGCTGCCAAGACAGGCAATGTTGATGGTGTGGAATGCACGTCGGAAAGGAACCGTGGAAGCTTGCCTTCAGCACGCGCTCAGCAGTCGCGCAGCTATGGCCGCCATCGGATACTCCTAAAGTAACTGGATCGTAGGAAAGATAGCGCCAAGCTATCCGCGTATGGTCGCCATTTTGGCTCATGAAATTAGAAATTTCTCCTCGACCTCTTCATCCTTGGTGAGCCGATCTAAATTCGCTGGTTACAGGTAGCTTTATAAAGACGTTTCTTGTATACCGAGATTTTGCTATCTACACATCGGCGAAACAAGCGTACATCTGGTACCACCTCCACATGCGGTGTCGGTGCTTGGAAATACGCAAGTAGCACAATACAATTGCAAGAGATTCGTGGAGATGGGAATGTTTGATAACTTGATTGCATACAGAGTGCCAAAGACGCTTATACTGGCGACGAACGCTTTCAGTACGATGATGCTCCATGGTGATCTTGGTGCCACTGGATTAGAACGACCCTCTCGAAGCTTCGAAGATTTGAAGGGGCCGAAATGCCGATGGCCATAGCAATGGAGACGAATTAGCCAATCGCCTTGCGAGGTTTAGCTCGTCTGTATGCTTGTATTTGTTTGTGTTTGGCAGGCAGGCAGGGAAGGCAATGGGCGGTACTTTCCCACGATCCAGTGACTTTAGATACTCATATAGCCTTGCGGTGATTTCCAGAATGAAACGATATTTAAATGAGACTTTCAGATTGTACACGAGCATTGCGTGAGCACTGGATATTTGCTCATGACAATCAATGCCTCGGCGGACATTCGGGCAGTGGCCGGCTTTCAATCGCTGCAATGACGGAAATTGCCGAATCCCAACAATGTGTGGATCTCAGTACGTGCACTGTGCTTTGCGAACCCCAGCGCGAAGCACCGTGGTGGGACAATAATGGATATTGGCGGCTTATAATCGGCACCAGATTATGGCCATACTCCCAGATTTACTCAATCTTACTCCGGTGTAAGTGTTTTGTACCTTGGCGTTCGAAAATCTACCCTCGTCAAGCGTCGCTATATCTGTGTTGTCACGGGACACGACCCGCCGGAGTAACTCGGATCTATTTGGGTAAGATTTGGAACACAGCCTATCTGGCCGCTTGTTCTGACTCCGAGTTGAGGGCGCGAAGCCCAGTTCGTTTTATATATATATATATATTTTTTTTTTCTGCAACTGCCAGTTGGCGGAAGGAAAAAAAAAATCTAATGCGTGCTTTATAAGTTATGAACCTTAGGAATTAATTGAACGAGTGATAACATAGGACAGGAGGCATTAGATATATTGTATGAGTGATCTCCAATCCTCGGTTTGGCACGCTCCAGAATCGCTTTCTCTAGATTGCGGGTCTGTCAATGGGCGATCGTAATCAGCACCTTTGACTCCGCGTGTGGCTCTGGAGCAGTGTTGTGAAAGACACTCGACAATAGTATCTAGCGAGTTACTTAATACATGCTTCAGAACGTATTTAGAGTACTACTAAGGTTAATTTCCCTCCAAAATATCTTTAGTACAGAACAAATTACTTATAAATGTAATTCAATTACTTTCAAATAAACTTTTTCCTTACATAATTTGTATTGACTTGAGTGATACTAGAATGTTTCATTAGCAAACAACAAAATCAAAGAAACAAAACTGCAGTGCTATTTTATGCAGTCCCCGTAAAAAAGCAGCATCGCACTGGTACATTTCACACTCTGATATTTGTAAGACCAACTAGCAAAAAGAGGTCACTATTAGTCATGTTTTACATAGAGGGTCTGTAGTTTTACATTTGCAGCAGCGCCGTAACCATGCGTGCGGGTACGTGTGCCGTTACCGCAGCAAAACACCGCTTGGGTCGTTTACTCATCCCGTGAAAATGCTTGCGTATGTCAGCGCGTGTTATCTGGATAGCGAGGCCAGAACCTCGCAAAATAGGCGATTGCGAGCAGGGCATGCCTCTGCTCGTGCGGGCAAGTACGTGCCATTGCAAGCTTGTCAAAGCTAGCTTCACGCTCACGATCAGAACCTCCGTGTCACTAGTTGCGTGCAGTACAGGCGAAGGCAACGCCAGGAGAGGGGAGAAAGGGCAAGCACTAGGAAGGCTGGGGAGGAGGAGAGAAACCTCTGCTCTTCTCGAACGTTCCTAGTGCTCTCCCTTTCTCCCCTCGCCCTCCATTGCCCTCCTCTCCCGTCCCGCCTTCCTAGTGCTCGTCCATTCTCTCTTCGCCTGGCGTTGCCTTCGCCTGCACTGCGCACAACTAGTGACAGAGTATAAACCTGCTGCTGCAGTTCTTTCATGGCGTGCTAAGACTGGCTGGGCGTACGACCCGATTGCGATATTCGGCGAGCCGTGATGGCTAATCGACGGTGTGCAACACCACATCTACTTGGTCATGAGGGAGTTTTAGAATAGCATGTCCACACCTTGGTGGTTTGCGGCTGACGAACTCCTTTCTAAATCTGCAGGCGTACAATCATCGCTGCCGTCCATATGACAGTCGCTGCCGTCCGAACGGCAATGAATTTTCTGAATCCAGATTCGGTTGTTATTAGATGATCAGTTGACTGAATCACGGCGGCGTCCTCCAATTCGTGTGTGCGCGGCTAATGAAAACCAGTTGTCGTACTAACAGGTCAAGTGACTAGTATAAAGTTGCGTCCCTTCAGGCGGTGTGCGTTTGCGTTTGAACGTGTGTATTGCTGTTTTCTTTTGTTGTTGCTGTTTTCTTAAAACATTCAGTTTTCGTGAATTTTCACATGTCTCCCCGAGCCCCGACGACACTGTAACAATGTGCGCCGGTAGTCCAGTGTGGCTTTTAATATTTCGAAATCTGACTCAACGTTCTCCCGCTTCTACTGCGGTTCTGGCCGAGCGCAACGTTACAGTGAGACGCAACCGCCGAATTACAGCGTCACGAAAACATAGCGATTCTTCCGGCTCAAAAACCGCATAAAAGCTGGAAAAAAACAACTCATCATTATATTTTGAAACGACGACCAGTGCAAAAAAACGCACACCGAACGCGAAACGATCACCTTATATACACGCTGTGAATTAAGCCCGTCTCATTTGTGGTTCCCTCTCTTTCACCCCTCCCCTTTCTGGCCCTGCCACGTCCGGACCCCTAACACGGAACAGCGCCGTGTCGGACACGGTGATCTTCATCTTCCTGGGCATCGTGCTGGTGAACAAGAAGCACGTCTGGAACACGGGATTCGTCGTCTGGTCCACGGCGCTCTGCCTTGTCTACCGCTTCCTCAGTGAGACGAGCGAACACTATATACGAGCGAACACTATATACGAGCCTCCTTCGGACTAGGCCATTCTAATTTATAATCACTGCACAATTAAAAAAAAAAAAAAAACGCGGGACGTTGTCATTTGGAACGTCGTATTCTAATGATATTGCCACATTCGCCGACAAATACGCCGAAAATCAAATAAAAAGGCAAAGGGCTTGAACATGATAGGTAACGCCCTGCCTATCTTACATTTTCAGTGACCGTGACGTGCGTACTTGTTGAATTATATAGAATACATACAAAAAAATATAGGAGCCTCACTGCGCGAACTGCTATTTTATTTGTCCGTTTCTCAGGGTTTAGATTATTGACGTTTTCTAACTAGATCGCATGCTTTCTTTCGCTTCTTGCAAACACAATGCGCGGCTTTAACAAAACATGCTTTTGGCAAACCAAGAGATCTTCAGCAGTATCGCGCTTGTTCCCACATATGCTTTTTTTGTAATTGCTCTGTGACGCTCTAGCAAGGTACATTTTCTACGTCTGCGAGAAGTGTTTGCCGACTGTTCTCCTAGTCTCACTTAAAAGCAGGAACTCTCTGTAGCGAAGACTTATATAGCGAAAATGCGGATATAACGAGGATAGGGATATATTAAAGCTACGGATATATTAAAGATACGGATAATGTGAATATACAAATGTAACGAAGAAAATATTAAAAATAATTTTAATACTGGCACAGGCATTTGAGGAACAGATATGATGATGTAAATATATAGCGAGGATTTGTTCGTGACAAAAAAAAAATCTGACTTGACTATATAGAGGGTCTACTGTATGCGATGATGTAAGCGATGACGTTGCATTCTTGTGTTTGTGTTTTCTTTGTCCATTACCGTAGGTTCAAATCTCTCATCTAACTTTGTCGAGCGCTGTGCATTTAAATGGTAAATGGTAGAGTGGTATGGTTTGCCTGAGCGTTCCTGGTCCTTGGTGTCTCTTTTCAGCGGTCTTCGGGTTAACTTACTTAGTGAACACGTTCGGGCGGATCAAGAAGATCAATTTGGAGGAACAGTTCATTATGGTGAGTCATCTTTCTTTGCTGCACGTAGGAGACCCCTTGTTAACTGTAATTCTTCACCGGCTGATTGTCGTCTAGACTACGAGATTACGGGGTATTATCATTTAAGACGGGCTAATCCCTAACTGTACAAACAGTTGTGCATTGTGTCCCCCCAAAATATTTTTTTTCGCGAGAATAAATTACGCACCGATAAAAGAAGAGAGCAAAAACGATTGCCTTTCTTATATTGGTTCGTAGGAAGTTTACTTTTCTACTTTAGCTTTTTATAGTGACAAGTTCTTCATATATATATATATATATATATATAGTGAGAGAGGGAGGGGGGGTTTCTTCTTTAAGCTTAACATATTTAGCTTAAAAAAAGCCGTGGAAGCTACAGTAATGCGGTTTAGAATTAAAATTTTATTTCGCGGCCACATCATTAAGTCATGATAATTCTTATTTTCTTGGCTGCAGTTCGCTTTAGTATACAGTCAGACGTCGGATGATGAATACCCCACACGTTATACACGTGTGCTTGCATGCGTGCGTGCGTGGATGGCTTGTTAAAGAGTCGGGAAAGGAGGAATTTCTATTAATTTTTTCTCCCAGAACATGCCTAATTTTTTTTTTTCAACCCCACACGTTACACGTGTACTTGCATGCGTGCGTACGGGGACGGTTTGTTAATGAGTTGGGAAAGGAGGAATTTCTATTAATTTCTTTCTCCCAGAACATGCTTAACTATTTTTTTTTTTTTCAAGAAAAAAAGCTTGTCGATGGGCGGAAATCTTGTGATTTTTCATTGATTTGTGTTTGTTTTTTAGAGAAGCAGCTGTTGTCCAGATATGGTGGCGTTCGTACGCAAAAACCCACGTGATTGCGCGGAGAGAATAGAAAGAGAATGATAGCGCTGGGGGCCGTGCTATCACTCTATCGTCGTCGCCTCTCGCGCAACCACGCAACAACTAAACGACCGCGTCATATATGGCAAGACGCGCATAGCTTCCTCTCTCTCGCACCCCCCCTCCCCCTTTTTTTTCACCTCCTTCTCCCTCCCTCCTTCACCGCCGCCGCTAGGGGGTTCTAGAAGCTTCTCCGGCGCGTCTAGAAATGAAGGCGCGACCTCAGTCGCGGCCGCGGGCCCAGGCAAGATTCGCACTCCGTCTGAGGAGCAATGGCAAGCGTGCTGAACTAAGCAGAGTAGACGGAGGGCCGCAGCCGCACGAGAACAGTGAAGGGCGCAGGACCAGTGGCGTCACTAAAAAAAAGGGGGGGTTAGACATCCAAAGCACCTTAGTAAATCTCATCAAGCACGTCTTTCAACAACGCATCAGCTGCCGCTGTCAATCAAAGCTTGTGTAATCGTTTCCATTATTTTCTTTTTTTACAATTCTAGGTTTGTTTGGTGTGTTTACTTCACTTTATTTGCCGAGAATGGTTCGCTCGGTTCTTCTGGTTGATTTGTTTGTATTTATTTACCACTTCCCCTCGGCTGATCCGCTTATCTCAATCGGGTTACCCTGCTAACCTTGAACTTAAAAGTTTAAACATCACAAAATGCTGTTGTTCCAATTAACTCAAGCTTGAATATTTCGAAAGCCGTTTTACTCGGAGGGGGCACCGAAGTCATTTTTGAAAAAGGTCGTTTTTGATCTTCTATTGCGTAAAATGTGTTAATTCCAGCATATACCAAATTCTATATTACAAAGCCGCCTATTCATCTTAGGGCAAGAGAAAAACATGTGAACTCTTCTTTTCTCGCGGACTACATCGTGTGGACCAATCAAAGCCCTACAATACGCGCAGATTCCGAATGATTTTATAATAACTCGTTTCGAAGAAAGTCTGATGGGTACACATTCGGATAAGAATCCTCTTTTTCACTGCGGGCGAAGTCATCGCGTGCAACTCGCCGACAAGCGCCCTTCGTCGACGACGTCACTCGAAAGAAAATTCTTCCCAAAAAAGGCGTGTCGCGAACATTGAACGCGCTTTTAACGAGTAAATAAGCTACGCACAATTGTGATCTCGGGTTTGTTGGGATGCTTAGAGCGTCTAGATTGAGTTGTCACCACAAAAGGACGATCTCAGAATTGACTTCAGTGCCCCCTTAAGGCACTAACTTATTGACTGCTTTCCCAGGATTTTTTTTTTTCTGCTTTAGCTTGAATTTGTGTCTTCCAGGAAACTTGGTGCCGATATTTACCTTCATACCTCTTTTTATTCTGTTTTTAAGAACTTGTCATCTATTTCCTATGTACGCAGGCATAGCCGGACTTTCAAAACTAAATCCAACATAAAAAAAAAAAAGATTTTTTTTTTTTTGAGAAGGCTTTTAGAGAATTATTGTTGACAATCCCAAAGTATTACTATAAACTTCTTGCGATATTAAAACTGCAAAAAAACACCAATCTGAGCCAGGAGTGGCGGCGTCTTATTCTTACCTGTACTTGACAGCTGCAGAAAAATGGGTGTCGTGCGCCGACTAGACGTTGAGCTCACCCAGAGGCGGTGGGCGGTCTGCGGCGCAACGCGTATTGCGGCGCGGCTTTTGTCGTCTCTGATCAAATACTCCCCGTTCTGCGCATTTTGGGGGATTCCATAGCCCTGAGGATCTGACGTATCAGATGGCAACCCTGTGTGCCGATATTAGAGACGTGCACGCAGGGACGGCGCCAGGATCTTCAAAATGGGGGGGCAGTGGGGAGGCAAACCAAATTGGGGGGGGGGGGGGGGGGGGGGGAGGGAGGGGAGGTTGCTCTGAGGTTGCTCTGAGGGCTTATCGAAGATAGCTTATGCGGTGTGCTCATTGAAAAGGGAAATGCGGAGACACGAGAAGGAAGAGGGGGTGGGGGGGGGGGGGGGGGTCATCACAGCAGGGACCTCTGCCCCCAGTGCTCAGACTCACAACCAGGTTTTGCTTCCCTTTCTGAGACAGTGGCCGGAATTCCCCATGACCTCGACTTTAACTAAGCTCGCCTTCGTTCACGTCTCCGGTCTCCGCTGAAGATAAGCACCGCAGAGCGGAATACGGAGAGAAAAGCCAGCAGGCGTCACAAAGGGAAGCTGCTTTTTCTAAAGCGCTTGATAGCTTACTCGCCCGCGGTACGACTTCCAGTGGCTGGAAGTTAACAAAAAAATAAAAATAAAAGGCATGAACGGCTTTAAATTCTGGACACTCGTTACACTGGGTCTTCAAGCCGACGTCGTAGGCAATTATTTGTGTACAAAGCTGCTTCATCTTGGGGTGGCAGAAGAAATTTTAGGGGAGGCGCCCGCCACCCCTCGCCTCCCCTTGGCGCCGTCCCTGCGTGCACGACCAAAAGCGTCGATCTGGTCGCGATTCGCGATCGGCTAAACGCTCACTGTGACGTATTTATCTGGATTAATTTTACAGTGGTAGCTGTTAGTACACCTTCCTTGCAAAAAAAAAAAATGCTCATGTACGATAGCAAAACCTCACCCTACAGCAGAGGCACTGCTCTCCCTCTACCTGTCGTTTCTCGCGCACGGCGACACGGTAAGTTCCGGAAGCCCCACTTGACCGCGAGGAGGAGAACGCTCTCCCTCCCTCCCTCCCCCTCCTGCAGCCGCCGTTTCGAAATACCCACGTGGTCGCGCTGTGCGGACACGCTCCCTCGCCTCCACATTGCCGCCGCCCAGGTTCCGTTCTCGTGTACTACCGCGCCTCTACGGAACAGGTAGCGAACATACTAGGGAATTTTAGCGCACGCTAGCGCTAAATTTAGCGCTTGTTGGTAGCGCACGCTACGCAAGAGTGTTTTAGATTAGCGTTTCTCCGCCGCGACGCAAAAGCTCATGCATCTCGCGCTTGCAACGCATCCAAGATGCAGTAACAATCTTTATTTCACGCAGGAAAAGCTGTAACTTAAGAAAAAAAAAAAAGCTTTTTTTTTAAAGTAGCATTATAGATTTGTTAAAATATGAGAATGCGACGGAAGCAGTCGACTGGTTGTGTCCGCTTACGTCGCTTCGGCAAGACAGCTCTCACCTTTGCCGAGAAACGTTCGGGCATCGGAAGCAGCAAGTTGCCGGCGATCGTTGCCCACCTTGCTGGGTCTTCCAAAACGTCCCTGACGTGCACCTCCCGTAGGAGTGCAATGTCGTCCAGCGTTGAAAACCGCAGTCGCGAGGATGCCGCCTACGTCGTGCTCACGACGCCGCCAAAGCGGCTGCAATCGCGGTCCTGGGAGGCGCAAATTTTTAATTGTGCTCAATTTGTCTTTAGCTAACTTCTCATCACGAATCCTTCTTGGAGGAGCGCAAAGACTCTCTGCGTACGCACGCAATTTCTAAAGAAAACAGTGTACGCTAAAATAGCGCGCGCAAAGCGCAAACTGCAGTTAGCGTTCGGCGCATGCGCAGTGGTGACGTCGCTATTCTTGGGGTACGCGAGGCCCTTAGCGTCCGCTATTCTAAAACTACCTACTTTCGCTTCTTCCACCGCGGGCATGGTCACGGGCGCCTCCGTTCCAAAAATGTTTCAGGCAAAAAGAAGAAGAGAAAAGTCTTTTTTTTTTTAATACATTCAACATCTCGCATGGTCGTTCCATAAAGCACATATCTCCTCACACACGTTTCCTACATCGCCGAAGCAAATGGGGCTGGAAGCGAGCGTGCACGTAGGCGCACGGAGGTTCAACCCTCAAGAAGAGGAGGCCTGAGAAAAGCCAATGAACGTCTCGGAAAGAGACTGTTCCAAAAGGAAGCCTTCAAGTTCAGCGGCTGAAAAGGCCAGATCTGTCCGACTATTGGCGTAGGGAAGTTATCCCCGTCCCTTGGGATAAGAGTTCAATTTATATTTTTTTGTGATACTTATTTAATAAAAGAGGGGGGGGGGGGGGGGGAATAATGACACAAGCCGTCTCGGGATTTAAAGAACATAAAAAAAATCAGTCGGGGTTTTACAACTGGCCGTCCCAAAAATTCGGCGTTCTATGAATAAATCCGTATCCGCAATATTTTTACCGGCAAGCTTTTTCTTTTTCTTTTACTTTTTTTAATTAATTTATTCGGACAACGCAGATCCCTACAGTCTATGCACTATCATGCCTTTCTACTGGTTCAAAATTAGTCCTCGACGACGATTCTACTTTTTGCGGATCCACATCCGGTTCCCGCTGCCCGATTTCGACAAACATCTTCAACCGACACGACTCAGCCGAGCCAGTCAAGTGCCGGAGGATGCACCGCCGCAACGCGGAGAGCAAGTCGTCTGCTTCTTGCACAGGAGTCTCGGTGACGTCACAACGACGCCGAGCTCCGATTGGCTTTGGTTGAAAGCATAGTGGGTATACCCCAATCCTAGACGCTTTAAAGTATACCCTCTATCTTTTTTTTTTTTTTTTTTTTTTTCAATCAGCCAATAAGAGTTGTGCAGGGAGCAGACGGACTTGCACTCCGTGCAGCCAAGCAGCACGTCTTGTGCTCCCCAAACACCCGATCGGCTCGCGTCGCAGGTAGCATTGGTCGTCGCTGCCTCAAAAGAGTGTACAGGTTCGCTCTCAAGTTTCCAACAACTTCCGAGTGATAACACTTTTTGACAAGATTGTTTCTGACGCAGGCGTACGGCGGGCTGCGGGGTGCCGTCGCCTTCTCGCTGGTGATCATGCTAAGCACGTGCAAGTTTGTCAACTACGAGATGTTCGTCACCACCACGCTCGTCATCGTGCTCTTCACCGTCTTCATCCAGGTACGTGGACCGTCAATGGAGTATACACTGATCGCCTGGATCCTGCTCTTCCGTCTCCCTTCAAACTGGCCCTCGATTCTTCCTTTCCCTCCAAGGAAGGAGAGACCCCTCCTCCTTTGTGAGCACTGTGGCGTTATTGCCTAAGCCTCGGACCCCACCTTATCGTTCTCCTCTCGTAAACCAGTCGACGTGACGTCCGCGAAAATGCGCCAACGAGAGTGCTGAAATCGGACCGTTGACTTGCTTTATTAGCTTTTCCGAATACGCTGCTCGGACTCGCTCATTTCGGTTGAGGAGGAGGGAATGAAGAGAATGACTCTGAAAAAGGATTTCCTGCCTGGCAGAAAGTGCTGGCCGCGTGTCGGCCTTTAACAGAGAGAGAGAGAGATACAAGCACGATAGGGTAGCCTTATGGTTGGTGCTTTCTCTGCGCGTGATCGTTCGTGCACCCGGGGGGCATTCAGAAGAAAGGACTTAGCTCGTGCTTCTAGTCTTCCCTTCCGCATTATGGTGAGACAGTGTATGTTAATTTTTAGACTTCTTCTACAATAAGTAATAAAGTTACACCATATCCCCTGAACCAAGGTTTTGGGTGATCGAGTTCGTTTCTGGTCCAGGGAAAAACTTAAAATAAAATACTGATATCTTTATTTTAAAGGGAAAAAGATCATTGCGCGTTTACGCTATCTCGCGACGTGTGTCACAGCGGCAGCAGCTCGGCACTCGCCTAATTTGCTATCATTGCAGCACTGTTGTCGTTTCTACGCTTCCTCCCGAGCACGAATCTGAAAATTTTCGCACGATTTTTAACTTCCGCTCTCGATTCCACTCCCGTGCCTGACCCGTACTCCTTCTACGACGAGCATCCTCAGCGTACCGTAACTGAAAGTCCCGTTCTTTGGACCTGCTACGAACTTTCCGAGGTGTATAGCCATACCGCGTGAATGTTTGTCTGGTTGGACGGTCGTGCGCATGCATCCGCACAACGGGGCTTTCGGCTACGGGCCCTGTCAAAGCGAGAACGGCGTCTCTTTCGAACGCCTAACCTCCAGCACGCGCCCGATGCCCAAAGCGCGTGCACGCTTTGGGCATGCACCGGGAGTTTTCGCGAAAGACGACAACGCGATTCCCGGGGAGGTTCCCCCTAACCGCTCATTCACACTGGAAGTGGATCCGCGTTCGCAAAGCGGTTGCGAACGCGGTTGTATAAAGATCCAGTACAGTAGCACGCGCACTTGATGTCATCGAGTGCGCGTGAAATTGTACTGGATCTTTGTACAACCGCGCTTGCAACCGCTTTGCGAACGCGGATACGCTTCCAGTGTGAATGAGCAGTAACGGTTGTGGCCGTAAAAATGTCGCGGTGGAGAGGGACAAAACGTTGCAGAGGCCACATATGTTGGCTTCCTAGTGTGGCCCTGTAAAGTTAGGTTCTCCACACTCAGAGGCACCGTACAGAGAAGTTGCCTTTCAGGAACACAATCTTGTGGGCAGTTTTCTTTTACGATAAAGCGATCTTACCAGGCGTTCCACGCGTGCGTGACGCCGCCGTAACTACAGTTCATAGGAGGCAGGCGCCAGATTACCAGAAAGCTCATGCCGAATCGTGCTCTGCTCGAGCGGACCCTCACCGGGGTTGTCGTGCGTGCAAAAATACTACAGTTCCCACAATGCATGGCGGCAGCGGTGGCACAAAGAAACTGGCTGTGAGATTGGTCTATTCGAATGTTTATTATTATTATTATTATTATTATTAATGGTGAGTTTTGGGAAGTTTGTCCATCTCCAGACCTTACCGTTTTACGTACTAATTTTGCGGAATTGAAACGTTTACTCAATAACGTGTTTTTTTGTTGTTGTTGTTTTTTTTTGTTTTTTTTTAATTGAGTTGATTGCAAGGGGCCCCAGTGAGCACAGACTTCCCGTCTTTTCTTCTCTGTAGCATTTTTAATGTTATTGCTCTTCCCAATGTCATTTTTAAGAATTTAAGTATAACGTTGCACAATAACTATTTGGTGAACTAAATGTTGCTGGAAGAGGGTGGTGCTAAAGAAAAATTGTGCGACTAGTATAATTTGAGCGTAAAAAACCTACGCCCTAATTCAATAGTACTATAAGAAAAAAAAAAAAAAAAGCTTATTATTTTGGAGAGTCAGACAAGTGACTTTCGTCGCCAGTTTTATATACTGTTCTTGACAGATGTAACGAGTGAGAGCTCAAAATTGTGCTGTATGGGAGGTAACATTTTCGTCGTACATTTATTTTTTTTTATAAAATTACGTCTTAAAGGAATAAACATTATCTCAGTTTTCCTCTATTTCTTTAGTACTGATTTCGCAACTGCACGTTCCCGCGAAAACGAGGCAAAATGACGGGATTATGTGTGGACGGGTCGGCACCCTAATTTTGCATCAAACTAAAAAAATCTGAAGCAGAAACTTTAAAATAAAACGGCAAACACATTTAAAAAACTGGTTTATGCAAGGTGTTTTGAGTGGCGCCCGCGCATTAAGAATAGCAGAACATCCCTGGAACACGAAAAGAGGTGGGGTGACCCTCCCCGACCTCTCTTCGTCTTCCAGTGACGTTCTGCCATTCTTGAAGAGCGAGCACCTCTCAAAACACCTTGCACTAGTCGGCGCTTTTTCGCCATAAGTCTGCTGATTCATTTAAAGATCTCTGTTCTAAACGTGTCGATTTCTACGCAGAATTCATCTTCGCTCTTTGCTCTGGTTGCAGTCGATGGTGAAATCGCCGATGTGCTCATACATGGGGTGACAAGAAGTCGCGTAGAGCAGCTCACAAAACAACGCCTGTGGTATAATGGCACCAGGGTCCAAGCCTTCGACAGTTGCGCGCTTCGCCGTGCTACCCTCTCTTTTTGTGCTATAAAACTAGTCCTGGAAATTTTTAATTACGCCTTGTATGCCCATGGAAGCACTTGCTCAAATCCTGTATGTCTTAAGAATTTTTTTTCAAGAATCTATAAGGGTCCCCAGCGACTTGTAAAAGCGGGTTGTAAGTAAATGTCTCCAATATCTACCTGCCTACTTATTTGGCATGTGTGCTTATTATATACAGGGTGCCTCCATCAAACCTTTGGTAAACTTGCTCAAGATTCGACTGCAACAATCAGATGGTGACAAACTCATCACTGAAATCAACAGCAAGGTAATGTTTTCTGGGAATGGTCCTCCTCTTTAGAACATGTTGCGTTTAGAAAACAGTTGCTGGGTTGCCCAGGTTGTATAATGTTGGTCTCGGACAGTATATATACTCAATTTCACAAAACTACTCAGCTGTATGGTTTCTCTTGTCCTCTCTTTGTTTGCATACAGTGATCGTGAGGTGCTCTAAATAAGTGCAAATCAGGTATTAAATCCCTCCTGCAAATATTGATTCAGCATGTAGGTACTTACATAATTTACAGATCGAGTAGTGCCCTTCTATTGGATAGGCAGATGATGCTGTCAGTTTTTTCCAAGTTGAATAACCCGTAATCTCTATGGAAACTACAATTACAACCCTTTACAAATATATTAAATGCACAGAGCCCACCACAATTACCAGAAACCTGTGACTAGCAGTTTTTTTTATATATATTTTTGTTTATAAAAGCTATTAATGTTGTGGAATGTGTTACTGTGCAGCATCAACTTAGGTGGTTAAATTTGGAGTTAAAGCATAATAAACTAACAGATGTACTAATTTATGTATGTTGGTAATCTATACCTTTACCACATTTCTGCAATTATGCCCTCTGGGAACTGCGCATTAAACTAAATAAATAAGCATACAATGTACTGCTTAAGTGTTGAAGAGTGCCAAAGCCCTATTTATTCTAGCTTTGTCATGCAATGCAAGATTGCATACAATATGAGCTGGAATAGTCCTTCATGCTCCTTCGCCCTATCTGCCAGTTTTTGAGAGAGGTGTGGTCTGAACTACGAAGGGAATGCATAGTTGGGTTCTCATTCTTCGAACAAATCAACAAACTGAGAGATAATAGAGCTTGTGGGGACCGCAGACGCCGAAAAAGGCTGAATCGGGTGTTCCAGCTCATATTGTCCACGGGAATGCTTGCAAGGGGAATTGATTTTAGGGCATTCAACGAGTGAAGGATGAGCATGTGACCCCTGGCTCCACCAGATAATTCTAATTGGTGTCACTTTGACTTTGTTCAGCTGGTGGACAACATCATGCTTGGAATTGAAGAAATCACGGGTCATCGAGGGGGCAACTACTGGAAGGTATGCATTGCAGAGTGCCACTGCAGGCCCAGCGGACGGAGCTGACTTCTCTTCCCCGTTCCCAGCAATTCATGGAGCAAATCGACGAGAAGTACCTGAAGCCATACCTGCAGCACAAGTCGGCTCAAGACAGCCTCACGAGGGTTTACACAAAAGTGGTCCTAGCGTAAGACACCAGCACTGTTTGCTTTTCCGTCTGTGGTTACCAAAGGCTTAAGAAATGCAGGAGGTGGCCTGTCATTGTTCTCACCTCTCGCTTTGTGATTCGTTCTTCGGCACTGTTGCATGTTAACGCCCCAATCTCATTGGCTACGGAGCGCTAATAGGGTGGACTTGCCACACCTTACATGTGTGCAGCGTCTATAGTGACTATAGTATAGTGACTATAGCTTTCTGTGACTATGGTATAAATACTGGTGTTCTCGATTTCTGGAATTTAATCACAAAACACCTTTAAATGTATGCTCACCATTATGGTGACACATTTCTGGGAAAAACAATATAAACATTAAAAATTCAGTTGCCCAGGTGCCATTTATTTTCCCCATGAAGCTAACACGAATGTTGGTGCTCATCGCAGTTAATGGTGCTTTTCTGAGACTATGCAATCAGTGAAGTTAAAGAAGCCAAATGAAAAGGAATATGATTGTTTGATTTTATAATGTTAGACTTTTGCTTAATTTTAAGTGCAAATGTTTACTTTTCCCCATGTTTTTCCTTCATTTTTTTTTACATGTTAAGGTTGTGTTTGTGCAGAATAGATAATATACCACTAAACATTGATTTCATCTTGTTGAGATAAATGTCAATTTTGCGAAAAATAAACACCGAAAATCGGAAACCTTAGTTGCAGAATATTCTGGATGCCTATAGTGTGATTTATACATGACAAACTTGTGCTTAACAGGAAACACCAATTGGAATTAAGCTAGGCGGGTTTTGCAACAAAAGGCTAACAAACTGTAAATATGCATTAGTATCTTATTCTGGGTTACTGATACTAAAATGCGAAGCAGGCAAGTTGGTTCATGACTTATAAAATTAGAAGCGCTAACAATAGACAAGGACAAGATGGGAGGCGAACAGGACGAGCGCTTGTTTAGTAAAAAAATAAAACTACTGATACAAGCAAATTCTGCATACTGGGTTGGTAATGGTAAGTCTTGCCCAAGCAGGCTTTGCTGTAATCATAGTTTTAGTAATTGAATGTTGCCAATAAAGTTCAGCGCTGCCCAGTGACAAAGAGTAAACTCTTGGGGGGGGGGGGGGGGGGCGGCTGAGTGTTTCTCCCGAGTTAATTAAACTCGCCATGGAGAAGAATTATGAATGTTGGTAAAATTAGTGAAAAACTTGTGCCAAAACATGGTAACCCAGGAGGAATTAAAAAACGAGACAGACTACACCAAGCTCCAATTTGTTTTTTTTTTTGCTCCTGAGTCGTTATGTCAGTCTCGAACCAGCTCGTCTGCGCACTTGCCTGAGTTATGCCATGCCGCAGGGAAATGTAACGTGACGACATACTTTCTTTCTTAAATTCCCTGATGTTAAGTACTTTATTTTGTGAAAGCAAACGGCACGTCAGCAACAAAGGGAATTATATTTTATCGACTGTCTATTTGTGGATATTAATGCAGCTTCCAAAATGCAATAGCCAAAGACATTTATTTGTTCACTAAAACCAAGAAATTACTAATTGTACTTATTCTTTGCAAGCTCTATTGAAACATAATATGTGAATTTGAACGCCTGAAATGTTTTCAGGGATCACTATGCCCATCTTTATGGCCCTGCTGCTGCATTAGAAGAAAATATTTCTCTAAATATACAACAGTAAGTTTAATTTCTTTTTTTTCTTCTTCAATACTAGCTAAAAGTTATTTGTTCTTCAATGGTTTCAGTTTGAAGTGTGCTCGTACTAGTGCATGTGCATGTAGCTTGTAAAATATACTGTTTATAATTACTTTTCACTTTGAAACTTGTAGTCTGGAAAACTAGCATTTAATCATTTTTAAAGGGCAAATTTATTACACATATTTTGGTGTTATTAATCCATTCTACTTGAATGTACTAGTCAATTTTGTAATTGGAATAATAATACCAACAGTACTCTCACACTCATGTGATGATCTTTCTTTAGTTGTTCTGATTTGGGGAGGTGAGTATGGTTTCTGTTCTCAGCTTCAACAGACACTAAAAGGCATAAAATATTTTTATATATATTGTCTGTATTTTAGTCACATTTCGTTTTAAGGAGTGAGTACGTATTGGTGCCTTTATTTATGCCTGCATAATGTGGTATGTCTGGTGACATTACAAAAGGTTTGCACTGCAATAAGTTCATTGAAAAATAATTATTTCCTTCAAGGAGCGATAGGAGTGAAATACGAGAAATATTTTTATGACTGCACTGAAGCAGGACAGTGAAAGTACAAAGTGTATGGGTAGTGAAAGCTAACAAGAGTGGGGCACTGTTTACAATTTGGTGAGCACTCCTTTTGGGAATTAAACATTAGTATGCTATTCTACATATTCTCTATACCTTGAAATCAAGCTGAAAAATTTGTGCCTCCATCTAGTAAGCTGAGAGGTTTTGTGAAGGTTTTATGTGTGATATTGATAGTTGACCTTTAACCTGTCACAATTTCAAATAATATAAAGTTGTTTTCTTTTTCTTGCGGCCCAATTTTTGATGAATTGTACAAACAAACCTTTTTTGCGACCATTAAATTTTGCTCATTTTGAAGGCTGGAACTCCACCTCTTTATCTATAAAATAAAAATATTTACAGGCCCTTAAATTGGTGGCTTACAATATTAGCAGTTCTATAGTATAGTATATGCACTCCTCTGTGAAATATATAACAAATTCCATCTCTCTGTCTTAGTATGGCCAAAGTGCACTTAAAAATACATGCAGTTTGCTCAACAGGGATACTGTTTACACTTTGAGGTTTTTTCATGTGAATGAAAGTGGTCACTATGGAGGAAGGTTTCAGCTCAGTAGAATGTGGAGGTGGCAGTTTTAGGGATCAGTTCATGACTTCTGGATGAGCAATGTTTGGAGCACCCTATACTATAATAGCATGTTCGTAAGTTTTGTTTACATTACATAATGTCTGCTAAGCATTATGAAAATATCAGTGCAATGTTATTAAAGGTGGTGCCTTTAATACAAAAGTGCCAAAAGGACAAAACAAGAACCAAAAAGAAGTCACATAGGGATTAAGTTGGTCTGAACTCACTCTAAAAGGTGGATGGTGTTCTATGCTACTAAATAAAAGCCGTGTCTAAAAGCAGTATAGAAGATATAGACAGGAAAACTGTTACTGACGTATTAAAACGCTCTTTATATATGTGATACATTCTTTAATCCATTTTTAAAACCCGCAGTCCTTTATGCCCTGGTATACCGTGCACTCGTATACAAGCCTCGGTTGATTAGGGTCAAGCCATGCATTTTTCTCAACTCCAACAACAAACACAATTGTAACAATTATAAAAAGTGCTACTGATATGTGCAAAAAAATTTTTAATGATTTTTTTATAGCCCATAGTCTTCCATCCCACATGGAAATGTTTCCAGTCCAGAATGTGTTATGGAACTGGAAATCGACTACGGCTGGAGCTAAAAATCTATTTTACCAGCCGAATTCCAGGCTGTTTCCACCCAGAAATGGACAAATTTCTTGCTGGAAATGAAATTTTTCCTTATCTAGCTGGGAAATGTACAGGTGGATCATGTACTTCCAAGCTGGAATTTCTGATTTCCAGCATGTGCAGCATCCATTTCCAGGTGTAAACAGGATTTCCAGCTGCTGCTGTATAATTTAGCCGAAAATGCGGATGGAAATATTCATTTCCAGCTGGAAGCTGCAGCTTATTTTCATGTGAGATGCCAATATATCAAGGAGTCGGGTCTTTGTTGATTGTGGTTGAAGCATGGGAACCCCCTACCGACTTCCTTGCTCACTTTGATGTGACTGTAGCAAGCAAGGCCTTGGGAGGGAATGTCAGCAATGTAGTGAAGCTCCGTTTCTTACTTTCTTATGGTTCGACAACATAGTAGTGGCTCAGCACAGCCAATGGTGTCCCTCTCTTCTTCACCCCCCCCCCCCCCCCCCCCCTTTCAGTGCCTCCAGTGCATAAAAATGAGACCCTGGGTACTGCATGTTAGTAGGATAATCTAGTAAGCACAGCATTTTGTTGTCAGATCGTGTATGTGGCAGTATTTCAAAGGAAATGATGCAATGTTTCCAAAGAAAAAGCGCACGATTGAAAAGGAAGAGAAATCCTTTATACATTGCATATCATTCCAACAGCAAGAGCTGCTCCTTAAAATCCCGATCAAATGCTGTCGCACCTTCATTGATATTTTTCTCCAAGGCTATGAAGTTATGTTATGGCTGTCAAAGCGGCTCTTTTCGTTTCTCTCGCGCATTCCTAAATCTCACTCAATGGCGCTCACTGCTCCCTTCCTCTCGCTTCTGCACGTGCTAGGTCCTTCGACGATGGGACGCTAGACCTCCTAACCGAAGAGCGGCTCGAAGAAGAAGCGGTGGCCGAAGATGAAGAAGAGGATGCAGAGGGGGAGGACAAGGGCCTGCTCTTTCATGCCGGTGGAGACCGCAAGGCGTCCATCGCGGTCCGCGACCAACCGGGTATGGGCTTACAATTATGAGTTAGCAAAACACACTAATTTCTCAGATAAAAATGCCTGCCATCATCTTTGATTCACACTGCACTTGAAGCATTAGCCTCCAGCCCAGTAAAAGACAGGACATTGTCAGCATGTCCCATGGATCTCCTCAATGAATGACCAGAAAGTCTTATGGATGTTTGAAAAAGATGAGTGCAGGAAATATCATTGGGGTTTCTCCTGGCAGTCGCTCTTACAAAGGAATGCCCAGCGCCTAATTATAACTAGTAGTAAATGTTACCTATATAGTAGCCACCATTTTCTCAGTCACCAAGCATTAACTAATAATTGGTCCTTCTTGTGCTTGTTCTCTCAATCGTTTACCTCCAGCAAATCATGATGCCACAAACGCGCAAGTGGTGTGTTGTTCAACACACCGCTTGCATTCTTGGTTTAGCTTATATCATGTTTGAATCAGGAGGACCCAAAACAAATGTTTATCTTTATGAAGCAAATTATCTACATATATAGATCAATTCATATATGAATTGATCTATATGCAGACATATGTACTTACCATCTGCCTGACATAATTTGCGTATAACATTGGATTTTTTAGAATTAAGCTACATTTTTCTCTGGGTATCAATCTTCTGAAAGTACTACACTAAAATATTGTATCCAAACTTTTGTCATTGTTTAAAGTTTTAGTAAAATGCATTACTTGTAGAAAATATTCACTGAGTTCCTGTGGTAAAAAATGCAAATGTGTGGAGGGTTGGTTACTCATGAACATCTAAAAAGCCTTTATGGGACATCCTTTGTAAATTACTTTTAGGGATAAATATTCGAATGCTAATAAAGAAAAAGCTTACTGAAACAGTGAAGAGATGGCTACAACAAACTCCAGAGGTCTTTTACAGTTGCATCTTAGATTGCCACCAGCTGCAATATGACATATGTACCTACTATAATCAAAAGAGGTGCAATACAATAGGTGTGCAAAAGATGCATGACTCTTTCTTCAGAGTTTATTGTTGTGTGATAATGTTTATAAAATTAAATGTGGTAAAGCATATTTAATGTCCCTCCTATCTTCACATATTAATTACCTATGTACACTCAAATGGTGGGGTTTCGGATATAAAAATTTTACGACTTACACATTGCTAACTTTTCATACCTCAATGTCATACCCTTCTATCGTTGCAGCCCCGAGGCGTGTGCGCTTCACGCGATTTGGTAAGCTGCGGAAAATCTTTTTGCATAGAAACAAAAATTATAACTGGAAGACAGAGATGCCTAAATGTATTGGTCTTATTTTAGCTTGCTCCAATTAACACTGAAAGTTCCCTTTTAGAATATTGAGAAAGTGACATTTGGTTAAAGTTTTTGTTATAAAAAAAGCAAGTCTCATTTGCTTGAGTGTTCACATGTTGTAGTCCAAGATAGTTGCATAATAAATGCATTGCAGCATTTATTTTTAATGACATAATGTAATAACCAACCTAACCCTTACCAAATATTTTTAATTGAGAGATTTCACTCATGATATACCTCAATCATGTTGGTTTGACATGTCTTGATGTTCATAAACAGCTTTCACGAAGTTTGGTAATGTTGCCTCCCGCTTTTCCTGTTCATTTTGTAGTACCTTATTTATTTATAATTTTTTGCTTTGTTTAGCATTGCCTCGTAGATGTAGAGCTTCTGTAGAAGAGACTTGGATGTTCATAGCCTAGTTCAACTTGCTTTTTCAGTTGTAGTGGCATTCTTGTGGATTCATTTGGACAAAATAACCTAGACTAACGGTGTGTGTCTGTGTGGTAGTTGCACCTGTTGGAGATGCACTGTCACAATTGTGCTGGTATGCTCTTTGCACTTTGTTTGTGCTTAACATACTTAGAAAGTGAGCCAAGGTCTTTTTCTTCAATTTGTGAACTGTACATGCCTCCTCACTAAAAGTGAGATTTTTGTCAACCCCTGCCCCTGTTGCAAGAATGGCCTCAAGTAATTCTAGTCCCTATTGTGCAGAAGCGGTAGTAGTGGCCTTAAAGTGCAGATGATAATGATGTATAGTTAGCCTATCGGTGCATAAACAAGAAAACCACCGTTTTCTAGGATTTTCTACCACAACAGGGACGTTGAACACTTTTTGGGGAGACTAACTTAATGCTTTCTAACATCAGCACAGTAATTTAGTTAGTGTTTATTACTTACTACTATTATTCATAGGGTTCTTGAAGGGCATATAATGAGGCATAAGGGCAAGTGACACATAGTATGCAGTTATGCTTTCAGTATTTATTAATAAAAAAAGACAGTTGCAATCAATTAACACCCAGTCATTAACCTACAAGATGACATAACACTGTTACATACTTAAAGCAAGCTTGAGGTCAATGCTTTCTCCGTTTTTACAGTTTAGCCTCAAGTTTAAAAAGTACCGTTGCTCAAGTTGGTACCCACTCCAAATTACCGAGAGTTTTTAGCCATTATAATTAACTTGCATTCGTGCAGTATACAAATTGCTGGGATAGATATATGACAGGTGCATATCAAATAATTCAAAATAACAGGTTTGTACACATCAGACGCATAAAACCAAGCACTAGAGCATTTCACTGCCACGCTGTGTCTACGCAGCTGCTTTTGTGGGAACTAGTACCTGCTGCAACATGAGGTCATCCTTGCATCTTTAACAAGGAGGGTACAATGCCATAAATCATTAGCCGTGACATGCGAAGGACGTTCGCTTTGTACCTCCAGTGCCACACAGCAGGCTCCTCCAGAAACACCGCATGAGGGGTGAGGGTGTGATATCCCCAACTGGAAGGAACTTTCTACCTCATTGTGGATCCTGAGTATTTCAGGGAGCACCTGCCACGAGGCATTGCCAGTGCAGAGCAACCACCTTTAGTGTGGTACAGCTAACAAAGTCCAGCATAGTACCCCTTGCAAAGATCATCCCCTCAACAAGCTTCCACAGTTCCTGGTGTTGCGACACTATCCGACTATTGAAGCCACTAATTTTCAGGAGTTGTACCATTTCAACAAATTAATGCTCAAGCAACACCCAACATGACCACATCTCTGTGAGAGATAGCCATTTGAACCGCTTCTGGAGGGCAAGTCACAAGACCAGGAACAGTGGCAAAATCACTCCGCTGTTTCACTTTGGCAAGAGGTCACTCTCTGGGATCACGTGGATAACCTGTTGTTTCTCTTCCTTCTAAAAAGTCCCCCGGCTGACAAAAAGTTGCAACGACGGTAAGACACACAGCGACGCCTTCAGTGTCATTGTGAATCTCTGAATGCTGCTGGCGTTCCGGCAATGGGCATGACGTCTGCACCTTGCACGCTTCGGGTGGTGGCGGTGGTTCTGCATGCAAGAGCCGGGCACGGTTTGCACTTTGTGGCATGCTTTTGTGTTTGGGCACCTGTGACTGGCACCTGTTAGTGGAGGTGCCTCCAGTGACGTCCTGTTCTCGTTCTGTGGCGCTCCTGAATTGCATAGGTTTTGGTTCGTTAGGGTTTCGTGCAAATAACTGCACAACGCAAAGACCGCAACTTGGCAGTACGAAACGCTCAGGGCAATCGTCACTTGCCAATGTGGTAGTGTGCCTTATTCGACGTAATTAATTCCTTGGCACGAGGCATTCGTGTGCACTAGCTTGACTACTATGTCAATAAATATAAAAATATAATAAACTGTCAGCTGCTGATGACAGGCACCTACCAATATATAAAATGCCCATGATAAAATTGATTATGTAGGAATGCTATACTAATAACAGAAATTTCATTATAGTTATAAGTAGGTTTAATAGACATCATTTTTCTTTTTCATTTCATCTAGTTACCCAATATGAGTATTGAGACTCAGTAGTTGGGATGTCACGTGTGTTTTACTCTGGAACATTTGTCTAGCTGATGTCTTTATGCTTGTTGTTACATGTTTTTGTGGTGAACTTGTGTTTTAATTTTTAGTTAAGAAATTTATCTGTTCTTTGACTTAACAAAGAATTGTCTCTCAATAATGCTAAATTTAGTGGTACAAATTTGTATTTGAATGCATCTTGTTTTGCGAACCTTTTTCTTAGGTTTACAATATTGTTGATCTGCTGGTTAAAGGGTTAATTAACAATAGCTAAACGACAACTACATTGAGGTTGTGTAATTACTCAGGGCAGTGGCATGGACACCTGGTAACCGGCGTCTCCACTTTTTCGCATCACAATCACTACTAAAATCCTTCACAATTTTTTTTAATCTTTCTTTATTCAATAAAGCAGCAAAACTTTTATTATCCAAGTTTATTTAATAGTATTGCTCATTTTGAACAATGCACTGGCTGGTATTTTTTCCGAACCTGATGGACCTTTTTAAACATTTGGAAGTAGACAAACAAGTATGAATGGAAAAGAAACAAGTTGATGAGCATTTAGAAGAGTTTTTCGAACATGCTGGTATAGATATTCAGGCTTTACTCTAAATATCCACAGAAATGACCACATTTTCTGTTTTACAGAAGTTGGGATCATGCAATAGGGTTTGCATATTTAAGGTTTTCTAACACAAACTTACTATGTATTGTTTTAGACAGATCCCATAAAGTTTTTCCTGAACCAATTACTACACCAAGAACTGGCAAACACCACAACACTCAAAACCACCCGACCTCTAAATGTCTGTAAATACACGTGCACAGCTGCACTAACATGTGAACCATGAAGTTGTCAAACAAACTATTTTATTTTCTCATTTTGTAGGTTATCTGGTATTCCAGTCATTGCTCGCTATCTTGCGGAAATCACTGTTCATTCTCGACCGAAAAAGCAGCATGTTCACAGCCCTACTTAACAAACTATGAGGTCCTTCTGCCTTCGAGCCGTTATTATTTGAAATAATTTACCGTACGTGTTGAATATGCTTCGAACCAAAAGTGTGGCACCATTAGCACAACCCCCAGCAATTATATGTGGTACCTATCTCATTAGCGTTAACTGCACACAACCAACAGAATGAGAACGGCGGTAAAGTATTTCATTTGTCTCTCTTCCAGTACCGGCTTTCTGCCCTTGAAAATACTTTGGCATCTCGTGAGTTTAAAATGTGCACGTTCGGCAAAGGCGGTGCGGAAGGCAACAAGTGCATACCGGAGGCCTCACTGCTGTTCTCATTCTTTTAGTGACTACACACTGCATTACACATTTAAAAAAAAAAAGACTGAGACGACGGATGAGAAAGGGGACAAACAGTGTTTGTCCACTTGTCCATCCATCGTCTCCAGTTTTTTTTCAAAAATGTGTAACATCAACTAGCTCGCCTGTCTTACTCTTTCTTCAATCACTGCATTAGTCAAGAAAAAAATCGTGGTTGTGTCTATTACAATCGCTGATGGGACGAGAACAACAGGGGAGAGTTTAAGTAGCCCTTCTCCTGGCATGAGCTTCCCACCCTCAATAATGCTTCAGCGTCTCATAAGCCTCGGGCATGCACACACAGCTTAAATACCGTATTTTCCACACTATAGTCTGCAGCCTATACATGTTTCAAAAGCTTTCCTTTTTTCGCAATGCAGACCATACAGATTTTTTTTTTTTTCATATTGTTCATTACTATGCGACGCGTCGGATTTTGTGAATGACGGAGAATGTCAATAATGATTTATGTATGAGTTCCTTTGTGTGCCAATAAAGCGGTATTTATCGAGGCTTGCTGTATATGAAGATTTCTTACAAATTTGTGCATGCCATGCACCAGGTGCAAGTCATCTCAAAAGAAACAACTTGATTTTTCAACCGAAATTTGTCGAAGCTTGACCATACACCGGGTGCCGACTACAGTCTGGGAAATACGATATACGATGAAAGGAAACGTGCGCGTGGTAGGGGACGGTCGTCCGAAAAAAACACCCTGCCGTTTTCGGCCCATCAGTGATCATGGTAGAGATCCAGCAGACCATAGAGTGACAACTTTGAAAGCGCTTAGACAGCTCGACCCACTACGGCGACTGACCGGGACCTGTGACGTGCAGCGGACCAGGTGCGCGCCGCGTCGCAGAGCGCCGAGGGGCCCGCCGAGAAACGCCGGCACACGGTCGGGGCCATGTTTTCGAGGTCCTTCCACCAGGATTCGGTCGAGGAGGAAGACCCAACCAAGCTCCTGGTGAAGGCACTCAACGAAAACCCCTACCTCAAGGTGAGCGCGGACTGGCCGCTCGCGTGCAGCCTTCGCACCGATAGGCGAAGTCGACCCTGGTCAGCTTCGCCCGTTGGTGAGATCGGGCTTCGTATTGAAATTGTAGAGTACCTGGGCAGGAGTGTAGTAACCGCGGATCGATAATGGTGTGGTTTTACCTAAAGTACTAACCTTAGGTGCAAAACTCATTGAAAGGGAAAGTCGACCTTAGTCGGCTTCACCTTGCAGTGAGTTGACCAGTTTTCGTATCAAGGTTGTAGAGTATGCTTGGGTAGAAGTAGTAATTACAGATCGATAACGGGGTACTTTTTCTGTACCTTAGTTATTTACCCTAGGTGCGAAACCCACTAACAAGTGAAGTTGACCCCAGTCGGCCTCACCTGTCGGTTGGTTGACCAGGTTTCGTATCTGGGTTGTAGGGTTTCTGGGTAGGATTGTAACTGCAGATCGGTAATGGGGTACTTTCTTCGCACCTAAGGCACAAAATTTACAGGTGCTTTCACCTCTTGGTACCTATAGTTGTATCTGAGGTACAATTTCTAATAACAAATATGACAAGTTGCTTTTTTCTCTTTCTTTTTCTTTTACAGGTTTCTGGTACTTTAAACAAAATGAGAAGAGGTTTTAAATGGCAGCTATTGTCAGAAAATAATAAACAAAAAATGCACAGAACAGAGGAAAGAGTGCATGCCTCCTCGTTTACACTATTACAAATCGAGTCTAAATGTCGAATTCCTGGTATACCAGGGTGCTGCTTTGGAGACACTTCCTAAAATGAACTTTTCATCCCAACCATGTTGGAAAGTAATAGTCAAAATTCTGCTATCAACTAAGAAGGTGCCATACCTGTAGAACTACCAGACATTGTTTCCAAAGCTTGAAAGCCCTGTAATGAAATTAAGGGTTATTGTTGCTCTTGAGTTCCATGTAATATTTTCTGTTTAAAATTTTTATCACATATCAGTCCCGCAATATTTTTTTTAACAAATTGTTTCATTTTGTACAAAAATAAAGATATTCATAGTGAGAGGAGGGTATATTTGGAGTGTCTATACCTGTATATTGGAACATATTGAAAGCATGTCTCTATGTATCTTAGATATCTTTTTTTCAAAAGTAACTGCAGCATCTTACCGTAAAATCCCGAGAAATGCCCCACCCCCGAAAGATAGCCTACCCCTATTTTTGGCTTGATATGCTATATTTTTTTGAACACTGAAAGCTGGCCCACTTCTAGTAATAGTAGTGTTGGGAACAATGATGGCCTCGGCGTAAATGTGGTTAGTTGGCTATGGAGGGATATAAGCGAACATTGCTGACTGCATGGGAAGTACAGTCATCTTTGCTTCGTTGCCCCCCATCTCCATAAAAAGCTTGGAAAGGGTACGACCTAAAAATAGCAATTTTTGTTTTTAACTTTTCTTGATTGCGTACACTGAAAGTTAGCCCACTCCATATTTGCAGCCGATTTGCTCTTAATATTAGGTGGGCCCTCTCTCGGGATTTTACGGTAGGTATTTTTTAAGTAACTTTTAAAACCCTGATACACGCATAAATAAATATATTGATAACAAAAATTTGAGGTTTTTCAAAGACTTTCAAGGGGAGGGATGGTAGTGCATGTGCTAACATTTAGAACTTCCAATCATGAATTTGAATATTGGAACGTTCGGTCCTATCTTCAATCTGAATGGTGGCAGTGAAATGACTGAGTTGTCATCACTGTGTAAAGGGTGAGGGTGTATGAAGGCACCCTAGGAAAAACGAGACTTATCTCTGTATGCTTTTCAACTGAGGAAAGGTGCAGACTGTTTTAGTGTTCTACCATAGGGTGTACTGCACGCACTAGTATTTGTCTTTTTGTTTGTATGCCAGTCTTTCAATTCCACTCCTGCAATGAGCTTGTGTAAAGTCGTAGAATTTGTAACAAAATAAATAAACATATGCAACAAGCTGCCAGTTAACTACAGGCTCGAAGCTCATTGCATTTACCCTTGGCATGTTCATCCTTAACTTTGCAAAGCAGCTAAAGTTGTGAGAATCTGCTCCTGGCTTTGAACGCACCTCATCTGGTGAAAGAGGTTAACAAATAGTACTACAAGCTCACATACACCTTTTTAGAAAACCCAAAAACGTTCCGAGCATGGGCTGACAGCCTTAAAAGGTGGCCACATTGTGTATGTGCTCACATAACCTGACAACCTTGAAAGTTGCCTGTGCTTGCAGCAAATCCAAAGAAATTTTACTGTAGTGTAGATTAGTTGTGAACAAACCAGGCTGTATTGAAAAGGTGAAATGGTTGACCAGTACAAAGCAAAAAATAATTAGTTTGCCGAGGTCCTAGCATATGCCCAAGCAGGTATGGGGAAGGATTTTTCCTGGTTAACAGACATACTAGGTCTGCAGAAGTCCTCAGGATGTTCTAATGTTCCATAGATGTCCTGTGCATATGCATTGGATATCCGTTCCACCTGAGAATTCTCGCGGAAGTTTCCGACAGCTGATGAGAACAGCATGGCGTCTTTTCTGGATGCCTGCTTTCCAGCATGCGCTTGCTGCCTTCCATCATGCCTTGGCTGTGTGTACACACTCAAAGCTCATGAGATGCCGAAGCATCATTGAAGGTGGGAGGCTCGCGCTGGAGATGGGACAACCGAAGGACCTCCCTGCCGCTCTCGTTATGTCAGTGACTTATGGCGATTATCTTCACACATTTGTTATGCTGCTGGGCTGACCGGATAGGATTCTCACAGTAACAGAAGGGCAACAAATTTTCTAGATTATTCCTGAGTGACACAAGCCATCCCTCTGAATTGGTCAAGGCACGGGTTCCCAAACTGGGTCCCCAGGAACTCGGGGGTTCCCCAGAGTCCTCTAGGGTTAGCCGAGTTCACAAACTTCCTTGACGGCCCCTGCTCCTAAGCAAAGTGCTTTGCAAGTTTAAGCAGAATTAGAGAAGATCTGAACAACTACTTGATGCATAATTATGAGCCCCACAGTTTTCTTTATGTGCATTATTGTTCACGAGGTCTGTAGCTTCTGCAGCGATTTACTGCATCAGTGCCAGGACCGGGAGGGGTTTTGTGGCTGCCATTCAAGGCAGATAGGCATTCCTCCAGATCAAGAGTTACGAGAACCCGAGTCATGGAATAGTGTTTGCAGCTTGGGTGATGGAGTGAGTCACTGACCACTGTGTTGCACCTGCACCACCCACAGTACCACCAGCGCTACAACAGGAACTTGGTGGGCGACGACCACCAGGAGCTGGAGGCGCACCTGAGGGCGAGGCGACTGCGCGCTCACCGACTGACCCTGGCCACCATGGCCAGCGAGATGAGCTCGGCCGAGATGAGCGTCGAGGGCAGTCGCGGAAACCTGGCCACATCGCCTGCTGCGCAGGTAGTACCCTGCCCGAGGTCTGCGAGGTCTGCAGTGGTCCGGTGCCTGCATCCTTGTAGCACCACTGGTTGGCCGAAGACGATGTGGTGAAACAAGTGACGACGCGACACGCTGAAAAGCAGTTCAGGGGGAAAAGAGGATGTTGGGAACGTTAGATATTCTTGTAAGGGTCTCGGTTCTGTGCGGCGAGAATTCCGCAAATTCATACGAGCTGTGCCCCTTTTGGCAGCTCTCAAACTAGTATATACACAAGCAGTAAAGCTATTCTGTTAGAAGTACTGCAGTTGATGCATTACTGGAGTAATGTGCTCCTGTTAAAGCAGGCAAAATATGCATCTATAGTCAGTGACTGGTTAAGAAGTCAGTAGATGCTCCGCCTTTCACCAGCTTTGGCTCTGTGTGTGCTAAGGTGAATTATGAAAGGCAGAAGCTAGACAAAGCGTCCACTGGGTTTTGAACCTGTTGCCATCAGTAGTGCTTCCTGACCAGTCGGTAAGAGCTGTGGACCCTTCTTTTTAATATGCAAATTACCTTCGAAATTATAATCCAGTCTTGTTCTTTGTTTATGCTGACCTGTGTTCATTCAGTGATCTGGTTCATGCAGCAGCAAAATGCAAATTTTTATACTAAGCATTCCTATTTTCCTTCACCCAGCTGGAAGAGTTTGTGAGATATCTATATGTCTACACCTTTGTTACCACTGAGCAGTTGTTTTAACAAGGGCACTGAAGAGGCATAAATCTTCATATGTTCCACATCTCCACGACCAGTTATTCATCATCAGAAGAAACAGTATCTCATTTTCCCATTAGAATGTTCGCTCAAGCTCTTTTCAAATATTGCTTTTCATCCTGACCCAAAATACCTTCTCTCTCAAGATAGGCATAACTTCTCAGAATTGGTCACATTACAGCCGAGCTGTTAAGGGCTAGTTTCCCCAGGACAGTGTCCGGTACGAAACAAATGTCGACACAAAACTCTGGTTGCCGCCGTCGCACAAAGATGGCAGTAGCTGTCCAGCCTCGGCAACCAGACAACTGGTTGCTGCCGTCGCTCATAGGTGATGGCAACATTTCTTCGGAGGGAGAAGAGCGAAACAGAACAAGCGGCGATGTGCGCTGCAGCGCGAATGGTTCCGCAACCGCCGCGAGGCCGCTATCGCCTAAAGTTCCACTGCGCCAAGCGCTTCAAATTCCCTTACGAAAGGAAGCCACTGCCGAGAACAGCAGCTACAGCTCCGCTGCTCTTCCTTCTTCACCAAAATGAAAAAGCTAAAAGTTTTTCCAAGAGAGATATGCGACAAATAGGCCCCTTTTGAAAAGAATGGCTGGTTGGTCTAGTTGGTTGTGCATCATGGTGTAATACGCCAAAACAACAGGGACAAAAAACGAAGGGAGAACTAGACAGGACGCGGCGTAACTTTCAACTGAATTGTTTATTTGGATGACAGAATTTAAAAAAATAAAATAAAATGTGGTAAGGTGTACGTCGGCCAGACGGGGAGGTGCATTAATGATAGGGTCAGAGAGCATGCGTTGGCGATCAGGCAGTCCCCGTCTGGCCACTTAGCGGTCCACTGTGACCGTTGCGATTGCGGGCCGAACTCTGAAAAGTGCAGCCCCATCTTTGGTGACACCTGTGTCATGGGCCATTACAAAACAAAAACGGCAAGAGAAATTCACGTAGCCTTCCTGATTAGGTCCCACCTCGACAATACTTGTACAAGTGCTCCCTCTTTGTCCTTGACTGATAAAGAATTCTACTATTTGAAGAATCGATGAGGCTGGCATTTGAGGGGTGTGTGTTTTTAGACCATATCTTTGGTATTCTGCCAAGTGTGCCTGCCTTTATATTTTATTTTTTTTTTAATTCTGTCATCCAAATAAACAATTCAGTTGAAAGTTACGCCGCGTCCTGTCTAGTTCTCCCTTCGTTTTTTGTCCCTTTTGAAACTTATGCACCGATTGTCAAACGGTCTAAAGAACAATAATGCGAGCTGACACCGTGTAATATGGATGTTTAGACCAACATGTAACCGGGATGAGTGAGCGAGGTGATGAAGCATTTGTAGGATTTGCAACTTTTGCAACTTTGGTGATCTTTTCTGTTCCCTGCCTGCAGGATTTAGAACTTTTAATGGCGGGCAGACTTACAGAAGAGGTAATATTCCAAGCACAGGTGCTCCTCCCACAGCTCTCATGATGGGAATGTTGTGGTCAAAAAAAGAACCGTGACTAATACTTGCCTACCACCTGAATCAACTTAGGCCTAAATGAGGTTACTGGCTGAGGAGACAACAACAGACCATCAAGCAAGGAAGTTCTTTTGAGTTGATATAGATATAATCATATTTGAATTAATGGGGGGGTGTCACTGTGAAATCACTTGGACTATAAATTATGCACCTAACCGGAGTGTCGTAAAATACTGAGCATGCAACCGTGTCACAATAACCACCCGCCCACTAATTTGAAAGTGTATGAAAACTACTAAGCGAAGCAGAGATCAAGCACTCACTCCAGACTTCTAAGCCCACCTAGCTACACAAGGTGCCCCTTCTCGTCAGCCACTTCTACAAGCACCCCAGTGCAAAGCAGCGAATACCACCCCATCGTGCGCCCCTTCTGCATTTTTTTTTTTTGGACCTAACAAGCACTTATTTCCAGTTTTTCAAGATTATGCGGAGCGCAAGTTTGTCTGCTTCTTGCACAGGGTTGCGATGATGTCAGAATGCTGAGCTCTAATTGGCTGATGAAAAAAATAGTGGGCACCCAGCATTGAGGTCCACCCATTATCCTTCCAATCAAAGCCCAGCAGAGTTCGGCGTCGTTCTGATGTCATCGCAACTCCGGCACAAGAAGCAAGTGACTTGCTCTCCGCATAGCTTCAAATTTTACGTGGCCACTCGCTTCGCATTTTACGGTATGTACTACTCTCCAAATCAGGAAATGAGATCCTCAGACTGATAGATGGTAAGGTTTGACAGGGCAGTCAAGGAAAGAGGACTGAATGTCCGACTTCGGTCTCGTAAACTGCGATCACAAACTGAAGTGTGTATGGTACGAGCAGCTTGTTCGAGTGTGACCGCATCGCAACCACTCGTGTGACCGCTGACGACAAGAGGACACACTAGCGCCGTCTATCGAGTAGCCCCGGACAACTCCCAATCTGCACATACTCATTGCACCACATGCTTCAAATAATTACGACAATGTTATTAGCAACCATTTCTCATAAATAGTGCGAAGATTTGATCTCGCAAGTACTGCACAAACTACCGGTCTAGTTATACGCAAATATAAGAGTTCCAGGGCTGCCCGACAGATGGCACCAACGCGCCCTCTCATCGTAAGCGGCCCCGAGTGGTTGCGACGCGCTCGGTTGGCTGAGACGCAGACGAGCGAACCGGCTCTCAAGGACGTCTCCCCTCGTGCGACGGCAGGTGCCAGGCTTTGCCGCGGACGGGGCGGACCGTGCCGCGGTTACCGTCGCCGCAGCGGCCGCGCTCTCGGCGGGCGTCGAGCAGCTGGCGGACGGGCGCCCCTCGCAGGTGCAGTACCGCAGGGGCTCCACCTCGGTGCAGAAGAGCGCCTACACCTGGCTCAGCCTGGCACACCGCAGGCGCTCCCTCATGCGCAGGCAGAGGTCCGGCTCCTCCATGGACAACCGAAGCCTCAGGTACGGTACTCTGTCGACACCGCCTAGAGAACATGTTTGCGCATTATGTTGCCGTCGGCGGATCCCCGACCTGCCTCAAGTGGCATACACACTTGTCTTGGCGTCGCCGCGTGACAACGTCGCGCTCGTTGAAAGACACTGCAAGATGTGCCGTCGACGATGCCAACGTGAGGCAGGCGGCACTGCGTGGTTTCACTAGTGACGACATTTGGGGGGAAAAGGTGCTCGCATTGTCTTCTAGGTGGTATGCGGAGCGCAAGTTTGTCTGCTTCTTTTGCAGGGGTTGTGGTGACGTCAGAACACCGAGCTCTGGCTGGCTCTGATTAAAAGAAAGTGGGTAAACCTCAACCTTGAGGTCTACCCACTATCCTTCAATTAGAGTCAATCAGAGCTCGGCATTCTGACATGTGTTCAAACAAGTGTATTTTAACTTACCCCCCCTTCTGTAATACCCGGACACGGGTCCTCAAGGTAAATAAATAAATGAAATGAAATGAAATCACCAAGCAGACAAACTTGCACTCTGCATTGACTCCATATCCAGGCAGTGTAGCTCTTTAAACCAAAATACGGTTCTTGACTGGGAATTTAGGACGTCAAAAAGCCTGAAGAAACCGAGTACGTAGAGCCAAACTTTATATTCTTTGGCCCGAGTTTGGGTATATGAGCCCTAAATTGCCACACAACTGCCAAAGTTAGGTTTCACTACCTGGTAGCTTGGCTGCTGGCATCTTTCTGCATAGATAACCAAACAGGTGCCAGAGTTAGGCTTTACTTCTAATTGTCCGGTTTTTCATGTGGCAATTTTGGGTCAAAATTACCGAACATGTGCCCAAATTGGGCTTCACTGCTTGTTGTTTGGTTGATAGTGGCAGCTTTGGATGAAGTGTGGCACTTTGACAATCTAATGACGAAACAAAGAAAAGTGCTTTGGCACTAACTAATGCCTTGGAGCAATGCCGTATTATACTCTATTCACTCTAAAGCTGAGATTGCAGCCAAGGCTACAGGCCCGGGCTAGCCAGCACCCCTTGGCTTTAAGACGTCACGAGCGCTCGTCCTGCGGGAGGATATTTCAAAGCTTTGCCCTTATTCTCTCGCGCTTCGAGCATTTTCTGCAGTCTCAGAGTATAGGCCAATACTTGGCGTCTCTGGCGTGCTGCTTTGGTATGCAGCAGGAATATTGGAGGCCATAGCACACACTTTGTTCATGCATAAGCCGGTACCATGTTGCAAGATACTCCTTAGGCAAGGACACAGCACGACAAACACTGCGTCACGACCAACCAGATAAAGTACCATTGGCATGCATCCAAGTGACCTCTACTAACAGCGCTTCTACCAATCAGATGCCGTAACTGTAGGAAAAAAATGTAAAAAGTACCTTGTTGCTTTGGCATAGGGGCATGAGCGTGGGCACTCTCTGCTTGGCATGTCGACTCGGAACACAGACAGACAGAAGCTCGCTTGAACGCTGGACTCAAGATCTCTCAATTTCAGCACATCTGTAAAACTTCAAATAACTTGAGAAACAAACATGTCTCCCACAGAAAAGAACGGGAAATGTGGCCGGTGACATGCTAACACTGGCCGCTGATCGAAAAGTCATCTCGTGACTCCGCTTGCAACCAAGGCAAAGAGAGGACTTTGTTTGGCAGCTGCAGTGCAAGCTGCATCTTACATCGTGGCCGGTAGTCAGCCAGGCAACAGCCTTGCACTTTAATTTCAGTTGCCGTGCATTTACCTGCAGAGAATGTATGAAGCAAGGCTAGCAGTTGATAATTACACAATGCAGATGGTCTCGGTCAGTGCGCAGTTAAACATGAAACGTGTGAAAAAAACGTTGTATCGCTTCGCACTGCCGAGTGACATAACCATACCAATCGCTGACGCTAGAACGAGGCAATGCGGCATTCGGCTACGTCGTAGCATCGGTGGCGGTTGCTATGGTCTTGTCATGCACTCGGCGGCACGACAGAATTTTTGCTTGCGTGTTTCATGCTTTACCTCTGGAGAGTTTAGACATGTCGTGCAAGGTCAGCCGTTGATTTCTGTGGCTATTGTATGCTGTAAGCTTTGGTAAATGAAGTGTTGCAAAGATCACTTGTGGTTGGGGTGAGCAGCCTGCAGCGGATGTTCACATGCAGTGGCGTTTTGTTTCACTTATCATGGTTAAAGTAGCAGAGTTATAATTGTCAAAACAGGTGGCATGTAGCCTTCAAAGTAGAATTTCTATACTGCACAGCATGTCATCTACATAAAAATATTATGTTTGGCAACCACTCCTGCCACGTTTCCTGAAAAGAGACAGTAACATCAACAAATAGACCGCTCAGTTCTAATGTCCACTGTTAGAGAACAAGGCATTTTTACATTCTGGGAATGTAAAAACATCAAACTAGTGTACATCAATGCACCATAGTTTGACAGTGCATGGAGCAGAAGCTCGCACTCTAGTCTCAGTGGTGACTCAAATTTCCCTTTTGTCGGCTTCTGTATGAATGAATGTTCTATCAGCAAGCATTCCTATAACCACCAGTGCGTGGTGCGTCTTAAAGACCTAAACTTGGCACGTTTTACTGCGTCAATTAAATTGCCACTCCACGGCGGAGGCAACAGTCACATCGTTTCACGGCTGCCTCAACATCCATACAACAGTGTTCACTTTCACCTTGCCTGTAAGCAGAGTGCAGACGGAAAACGGGGATGCTTTTACAGGCCGAGCCTGAAGTTGGAGCGTCAGAGTGCAGTGACAGAAGATGCGTCGGACGACAACGCAGACCACCCCAAGAGCGACACCAGCTCGAGACAATCCCGCGAGGGCAGCCAGGCACCGACCGAGCCACGGGAGCCTCCGGAGCCCAAGTCTCCCGACGAGAAGACCAAAGAGACTTCTTTCTAGCAGAAAAAGCGCTAGTCTTCTGCAAAGTGCTCGCGCATCTCTCTGTTTCCGGTTTTGTTGGTTTCCCTTTCCCCGGTTGGGTGTTGCTTTTAAAGTGTAACTTGTCCCTCTTGCTTGTTTGCTCGAGAGTCTGTCCCCCCCTCCCTCCCCCCTCCCTAGGACAGCAGTCTGCCGCAAACTTGAGTGGAGCACTCGAATGAATCGTAACATTGGGGTCAAAGCATTTGTTTCAGGATAGAAACCGGGTTTCAAAGAACTAATTTTTACATCTATAGAAAACAGGGCATGAGATAACCGTAGAAGTTTTGTTTTAACGTCGAGTGTGCAATCTAAATGAACAGTATTAGGGAGCACCTTTTAACCCCAATTTGATTTTAAAAGGGGGCAGCCTCGCTTTAGGGGGAGTAGCTACCGATCTTAACGGGCACAGTGTTTATGTTGTGTTCCAATAAGCATCACACTCGAAAAGAGTGAGTGTTCGAGTGCTCTGGCCAAGCTCGGTGGCAGATTGCACCTTGAAGTGGAGAAACGGCTCTGCCCCAGAGCACAGAGTCGTTTTGTAGGTTTTTGACTCGCAGCACCGCGAGTCCCACTTCGGTTGATTACAAATTGCCTCCCGAGCGGACGAAACGAAGCTATAGGTCCCTCGGGGCTGCTAGGGTTTCACCATGCGCGCAAACAATATGCCTTCTATTCTTTGGATAACGTCGTCAAGTCAACGCGGAGAGCCCAGCGCACGTTTGAACCCGAACTGAAAATGCGTTCCAGGCGCGTCACATCGTAGTCCTATTCAACTTTACGTAGCGTTAGGAGATAGGGAATATGAAGTTTTTTCCAAGAGTAGAAGTATTCTACCGACCTAGGCCGTCTAAAGAGCAACCCGTGGTCCAATCGCAGAGGAAGGGTATGTCTATATTCTCTATTGTTCAGCAATATCAAAGATTGCTTCGTTTTGTATGTGCTTTTAGTTGAACTTTCAGCGGTGCAATCCGTGTTTAAGAGAAAGAGTATAATCCATCGTCATTTTTCTGTGCCCAGAAGAAGCAAAGCGGAAGGACAAAAGTTGAAAATACTAAGCGGAATTTTTTTTCGGGTGTGTGCAGGACGGGCATTACATTCCGAATCAACGTTAAAAACTCTGGCACACCTTCCGTTGAATGTGTATGTGCATGTGCTCGTTGCTTTTGATCTTAGTGTATTGTTTGTTATGTACATAAAAAAATCATTAAAATTTTCTATGCAAGTTAAGGAGTATCTTGGACTGTTAAACCACCATGTGACCTCGTTGCTGCGAATGTTGCGCGCTTGTGTAAGTCTATTTGGAATGTTGCAATGATCCACGTTATGGACCTAGTACGCAGTTGAATGTTTGTCAAAACTGCCAGCCACTGTTCTTGACTTTGAGATGCAGGTAGGTGTCAGTGGTGGGTGTAAAATACTTTGCTGCCCATCTTTAAAGACCTGCATACCTGTTGGTTGCCTATCCACAGATAATGAGCACTGACAAGAAAACTGGAAAACATGGGTAAGAATATTGCGGAGGCAGATTAGTTGCGATTTCCGAGGTTTGCTTGCTGGACTGGAATGTGAAGTTGCTCAAACCTAGAGTGGTTGATGCCGAGTTGACAACTGTATGTTTCTCCATACCTGCCAACCTGTGGACTTCCAAACTCATAAAACTTCAGCAGGGAGGAAGAGGGGGGAGGAAATTGGCGAGTCGGCTGGTTATCTGCGGCTCGCACATAGCCCCGATGTCAATGCGAAGCAATGTGAGCCTTAACGTCGGCCTTTTTACCCTGTGAATGTTCATGTATCGCATAGATGTGGTGCAAAATTCAAACTTCTCCCCTTTACTGGACAGCACGAAGCACGGGAATTTTGACATGTTCGACTTCAAACACACTTGAAAGTACTACTTTCAAGGCTTCAAGCGCGCCATTGTGCTGTGAAGCCACCGAGACCAGGGGATAGATGTCCAACAAGTACGGCTGTTGAACTTCTATCGTAAATCGTAAAACGAGTTCTAATTCATACATGTTACGGAAGATTCGAAAGAGTTGGCAGGTATGGTTTCTCATCTCGTTGCATAGCAGGACTTTGCCTCATAGCAAAAGACATATAGTGTTTTTGATTGCCAGTTAGTTAGAAAAAGTTGTGAATCTACAAAGCTCTGCAGATTACAATATCCGATGCGGGACACCTCTCTCGTCGCATAGTACTATTTTCTGGTGGTCCTGTAGCCCTCTCTGGGACAACGACCCTTAAGACTTCGCCGAATCTATTGTGCAGACAGGCCATGGTTTACACTGTGTTTTTGGTAACAACAAAGACTTCCAGGCTCAGTGTCAAGGATTGCACGCAACATTGAGAACAAAGAAGGCACAAAATGTGCGATCTCAGACAGGATTTGTTTGTGCTCGTTTGTGAGCATTAAAAGCCTTGAATTAACCCAAAACGTAAAAAAGAAAAAAAGATAGAATTAAAAATTGCGTATACAACTACAAACAAAACTTGCGAATCTGGTTTGGGTGAGGACCCCCTCTCATGGTCGGATACGGATACTAAATATCGATATCAAAATGGCTATCAATTCAGGACTCTACCCATCTCGCATGTTGTGCATGTGCATAATGTTAGCGATGCAAATGCAGGAGAGAGTAGCTCTTCAATATGCTTTGTTTACATGAGCACTCATGCAGCAGAAACGACTTCCGAGCCCACACACCTCTAGTAAACTGCGCAGGGTATTGACGATAAAACACAGTGCACACCTTTTCTTACATCCAGAGGAAACTTTCTGGCTTTAAGTGGCACCACCGAAAGCTTTGAATTGCCGTCGCTCTACAATTTTTGTCAACCAGCATTTTCCGAGAATGTTCCAGACCTATTTTCCATGGGAAGAATTCAACTATAAAGGTTCGTAACGGGACATCTTGTTCCAGGAACGACGCATCATACAAACGTGCCACGGCCAGCCAAGCAATTCAATAACGGCTTTTATATGCACAGAGGTATGTTTTTTACATGTGAATGCGTGCCCCTAAAATAGGTCGGGAAGAGCAAACGCAATTGGAAACATGCCTTCAAAGATGGCACACAATATATACAGATATACAAAGCACAAATACATAAGTGAGGTGCTCGTCGGTACACAATTTGCAGGTATGTATATATGAACACAATTGCCTAAGGGGAGGCAAAATTACATCACTATATAGTTTCAAAACAGCGTTACAATGCTCAACACGAGATAAAGAAAGGCACTTTCGCACGGTTTAGGGTAGATAATGGTAACACATTTGGCAAGTTTCTTTTAACTGTTTGGCATATTAGAGTTGGTAGAAACAGCTTTTGCTACACTTTAGGACATTCTCTGATGTTTTAAGACGGAAGCAAAATGTTAGGCTAGAAATGTTGGCCGTGATTACAACAGCATACCCTGTCGTTTTATGCAAACATCAATGTCCAACATGAATCTGCCAGGTGTTGCATCGTATAGACAGCTCTAATACATTTACTTGAGTTTGATTGAAACAGAACATTCTGTCCTAAATCTTCGGTGACAACAATCTCATTATAACAAGCCATTTTATATGATAATGTACAGCCATGCCCAAAAGAAAAGGCAAATATCTCCAGTGCATAGCCAGTGAGAGTTGTATATGACCAGTGCCAAACTAGGGGAATGGTTAAAAACAAAACAAAAACCAAGAACTATCTAGTGTTATTTTATAAAGCAACTATCTGGGAACTCTGAAACAGCAGCAGCGATTGATACTCTCCTTGTTCTAGTGAAAAGTAAGGGTTGCTACCAACATCTCCTAGAACACAAGGTCTTTGTCTTGAATGCTGAGGCTACCAGGAGGAAGCCAAATTAGAAAGAGCCAGACTGGCCAGACTTTGCAATTTAATGGCACTGCTAAGCGTGAGTGCTGCCTGGGTGCAACAATTGGAGAACCGCACTTCACAGTTTTCTTACCTCGTGATGCCACAGCATCAAGTAACAAGGCATTGTGTTCCAGGAAGCATTGAAGCTACGTTCATCTGTTTCTGGGAGCTGATCTGCACATGCGCAATGGTTAGCACACAGACAGGACCCCCAGCTTGCCCTTCCTACAAGACTGCAAATCGACGCCAACAACAGCTACACGCCAACAAGGAACATATCATGATGCCGTGGTAAAAGGCAAACAATGAGGTCACGTAGTCCATCGTACAACCCACAATCTTCTTGACCATACGCCAACACCTTGTGCGACCGACCACACGAACGGCCCCCAGCACTGAACCGACCCAAATAACTTAAAAGAACCGCACGATGGATGCACATCATGCCGCCATCACTCGCAGTCTTCCCCGAACGTCCATCTATGTGCAAGGAAGGCTCAGACGTTCAAGAGGGCAGCACTGTTGTCGGCGCTGTCCGTCTGCAGCTGGTTCACCATGTTCTCGAGCTCCTTGACGCTCATCACCGACTGCTCGAACTTATGAGTCACCAGCTGCCGATAGAAGTGCACCGCAAAGATGATGAACACCACGGCCACCGGGATGAGGATGATGGTGGCTGCCAGGGCAGCATCCCGGCTGTAGTCGTAGAAGATGACCCAGGCGAGGATGGCTATCTCCGACATAAACAGCAGGATGCCGAAGACTGTGGAGAAGGCCCAGGCTGTCTCGATGTACAGGTGCATCTTCTCGTGGGGCGACTCAGAGACCGCAGCGATGCCGTGCACGCTCGCTACGGCTTCAAGATTTGGCAGGATGCACGTCGAGATCATCAGGGCAAGCATGTGCACGGACACGAGCAGCGTGGTGCACACGCTGAACGCAATCAGCAGCTGGGGTGGGATGCTCTTGCTCAGCTGGATTTCTACCATCGCCACCTGGCCAGGGGGGTATGGAGTAAGAAGCTGATAGAAGCTGGTTTCATCTTTCTCTGTATACCGCTTAGCTATGATTCGTTCACCCTTCTTCCTGATTAGGGCTATGACGGTGACTACATGTTCAAGCACTTCCAAGGAGCTCTCACACCATCAGAATCACGTTCTGAGGCTATTGGCTCAAGCATGCAGCCTTTGCTCTAATTGAAAAGAGTGAGAGCCAAGATAGAGGCCAAATCACTGTGTTTTTTGGACAATGGGCATACTGACAGGTTTTCCACCTTCGCAATTGCGATAGAAATGTATACCTTACACAGTGCAGCATCAAGTGACTTTTCGTTTAAGAAAAAAAGTGGGACTTAATGTGAAGAGAAGACATTTTTTCATTTCAAGAATTATGGCACATTGGCTGTCGTTACTCCTACTGGTCACGAATCATTTTAGCCATCTTGCTTGAAATTTAGCGAGGTATGGAGCAATGACGGCTGGTACGGCGTCATATGACGTCACGTGCAAGGCATGTATCACTTCTCATGCTTGTTATCAGAGTGAAACAGGGAAACTGATAAAGCAAAGTTTTGTGGCGCAAGTTCAAATTGGCTTTCACATTAAGGAAAGAGTTGTCTTTCCAGTGCATCGATAACCAATAATTAAATGAGTGGAGACATATCAAACAAAACAGCTCTAGCACTTAACAAAGTACACATCAAAGAAAAAAAAAAAAATCTAAGAACAACAACATTGTAGAAATTTGATGTCTTGGGTTTCTATGAAGTTGAAAGTTCACCAGCTTGCCTGTACATTTCCCGGTATTTCTAAGAAGTCACATTTTCCCTATGCAATGCTAAACATGTCATTCTAGAAATTCAAGAGTCATGTTGCCAAACCCGAAAGCTTCACCAGTATTTACTCAAGCTTGCCGGCAATTAGCAAAGCAAGTTGACCACGAAAACATACCTTTGTGTAAATTGCAAGACACCATTTATGAAAGGCGTTCTTCAAAGCAGCCCGGCATTTACCACTGTATCCTATCACAAGTTTCTGCTACTCAGTAGAAGAATCGGGCAACAAAATGCACCTTGAAGCTTGAAAATGAACATAGGCCTCTAGGGTAGCTCTTGAGTATACGTGGCTTGCATTGACGTCACATCAGCCGCAACATTTGGTACCATCGAATTTGTTCTTCTTGGCAATGGCTTGCCAGGAAGAACGAATTTGCTTGTATGAAGTACATGCTGCAGAAGGTATGGGCACAGGGGCATGGTATGGTGCAATGGCAGCTGTTAGGGTGCCATATGACGTCACGTGCAAGGCATGTATAACTTGTCACGCTTGTACCAGTGCGGAAAGGGGAAACAGAGAGTGAAGTTTTGTGGAGCACAGGCATTATCGAAACATACTGGAAAATATGTGCTTCGTAATGCCATACTATCCCCATGTGCAAGAGTCAGTAAAAAAGTTGATGTACTAACTTTTTTTTTTTTTTTTTCATTTTGAAACGGGTATTTTATTTAAGTAATGCACAGCAGGATGTGGTGGCCCAGCACACGTCTCATGGCGCTTTCCGCAGATTGATTATTCGATTACGTGATAATAGCACCTCTTTCGGACTTTGGAATTCATATGTAACCGGATCCCGAGATTCCTAGCCACGTTCGAAAACACATAAACGGGGAAGTCCAAAGTGCGAACGTCGCGAGCGTCCTTGGAAAACACGAAGAGTTGAGGCGCAGCACGCCGAACACGAGAACCGATTAGTTTCTCGCCAATTTCCGTTTCGCTCAGAATCACCCGTGGTTTGCGGAGTCGACAAAGAAATCGCCTCCCCGTTAATGCGCCTCGAAGAAGAGAATCGCGTCGTGTAAGAACTCCCACAAACCATGGCAAATCCGGAGAGCAGCGCGGAAGTCCGGCTGGACGCCTTCAGCTTGGCTCTGCTGAGGTGCAGTCTCCGCCACGACAGAGCGGTGATGGTGTTCTCCGGCTTGCTCATCTCTTTGACCAGGGACTGGATCACCAGCTCCTGCACGACATTCGGACGGTCGCCGATCGAGTCAGTCCAGAGTATTTCGGCGCCGGCGGGTATATTCATCGGGAACCGCTGGGCAGAGCGAGGCGGGCGTTTCGCCACCAATGCACAGATTACGCTACCACCGGAACAACATTTATGCAGCCCATGTTGGCTTTTAGCCTTTTTAGCACAACGACGCGGCAGGAACAGCTACGACACACACGAGAGAAAACATTGTCAGCTTCACACGCGACGCTTCTTCACTGCCAAAGACCGCCTCCTTTCCGAATTCGGGAGAGAAATAACAAAAAAATAGCGACGAAAAGCGGAGGAACGAAATTGATTGCTGCTTGCGTTCAGCAAGCAAATTATCGATCGCCAGTGGGCAGTACCAATCCTTACACTTGAAGTGCACGCGCGATGCTTTGGAACGTTCGGCCGTGTCCGCTGGTATTAAGGTGCACCCCGTGTCCTGGTAAGCATTGAAGGTCTCGAAAGTAAAAGTAATCTAGACGGAGGCTTCGAGTGTGCCGGTTAAAGGGACACTTTGCGCTTCACTGCCCCCAAAGCTGTGCATAAGCGGAAGTCGAAGCATACGGCGTGAAGTGACGTTAGGAGGAGAAGGAGACGGGGAAAGAGAAAGAGAGGGTGAGATCACGTGATCTCCAAGAAGGCGTGTTAGCTATGTCGTCATGAGAAGCACACAACACACACACTCGTGGTCACGCACGCACAAGTGTAACAAACATAGCGGCAGAAGCTTTGAAAATTAGCGACTCGCGGAGCGCTCCGCGTGCATCTGCGGTTAATCCTCGAGAAAAGTAGTGGAGTGAAAGTTGAAAGAAGCGTCCGGGTCGTCGTCGAAAATCATGGAGGAAGACATTGATGAGCGTCGAAAGCTGGTGCGTACGCCGAAAAAATGGTCACTCTCCTTCCGATAGATCCCTTCTCCGGTGCGCCGACCGTAAGGTTTTGAACGAGGCCATTTTGGCGAGTTTTTAAGGGCTCCCTGTGGGATTGCCCTAAAGCCACGAGCTCCGTGCATTACGCTACGTTGATGTGGCCTCATTAGCGCAAACGAAACGCACTGGAGCGTAGACGCTAATATAAACCTTATCCTCCGCCGGCACGCTATAGGCGAGCTTTGTGTGGGAGCGTTCTTCACTTCTCTCATTACGTTTTTTATTCAGAGGTGTTGCAGTCCGTGCTTAAAAAGTTCGTTCGGGTTTGCCCCTTTGATTAAGGTTCGTAGTTGTGTTTGTTGCGGGGATCATTTGCACGAGCAGCCGGGGGAAAGGCATCGTGAGCTAGCGTCGCGCTTTGTAAACATCGACGACCTTGATAGCGCTCTTTGGCTTCTCGACAATTAGGTTGCTATGCTGCTCTTATCTTGTCTCAGATGCGATTAATATTAAAATTGAGGCACATTATCTTGACCGAAGTAGGTGTGCCTCGTTTGACGCGGCGAGTGGTGTTCTTTTGTTCGGCGTTATCTTTTTATTTTATTTTTTTGTTTTGTTTGCCGACTTGAAAGGCTTCACACACTTACGTGAAAGCGAACGTGTTCAAACTTGCGCTTTGCGTGTTTAGTATTGTTTTATTGTATTGTTGCAATATAACTTTTATCTTCCATTCTGGGATTCCTGTGTTTTCCGAGTTGTTGAAAAGTTTGATGCATTCAGGTTCAGCGTACTGCTATGGCGTTTCTGTTTATTTTTTAGCGTGTGTAATTTTTACCGTGTCGATTCAAGTCCACTGTCCGGTTCGGGCGCGTCTCCTAAATACTGGGTTGACCATCGTGTTACGTTACTGTGTTTTTAGTAATGTGTTGACATGGCTGGGCTAGATTTCATCAGACCAATTTGAAATTGCATACTGAGGCGCTTCGCATTTTTGCATTAGCAATTTTTCAGATAGCCAAATGTGTGAAATTGCCGTCTAATTAGTGTTACATACCCTGCACTGCCGCCACATTATCCCTTTCTCACCACAACTGAAGAGAGGGGAAAGCTGCTTTTGTACAAATTTTGAGGGACGGGTTAATCCTCTTTAATCTTGTAGGAGATAGCGATGTCTGGGGCATACAACGGGGAGTCCCGGTAAGAAGAGTTCTTCTTTCCTCTTGTGGTTGCCGGAGAGCTGACGAAATGACGTCAGGCGCAAGCACATGAGTACCGTTTCTGCGTGAATGTGTGGGTAGGCACTGCGGCGGCGACACTAGCCTGGGTATTTCCAGTGTATCAAATGCCAGTACCATAACTTTTTTTTTTTTTTTTTTTTTTTTTTAGCAGTTTATGCGTGAATTTAGATTGAGCTTTCCCTTCTCGAGTTATGAAGCAAACAAAACATCTTCAAAACAGAGCTAAACTCGTAACATGCTTTGTAATATAAGCTTTATTATTGTGTGCGGCGCTTTCACGGTTCGAAATATCCCGCCGACGCACGAGAGCTTGCATCGATATTTTGGTGCGTCCAGTCACTCTCTGTAGAACGTCGCGAGACTTTACGAGGGGTGCCTATTTTGTTGTCCAATTTTTCCTTTCAATAAAATGTGGTAAAAGAGACCAGGGTAACAATCTTTTCCATCTTTCGACCCTCGCTTTGAACAGTTCCGCGGGCGCGCGTAGCGAGCTGTACTTAGATTTGGACCCTCGGGCGGAGGCAATCACTCGACCCTTACTTCAAAGATGTGCCGACACAAGCGCGCTGCTTTCAGGTGTCCGGTCCCATTTTGTCGCTCTAATTGGTTCTTTCACGTTGTAGCCTACCGCCTAAACTTAATGGGGATATAGGTGCCGACTGCCTGCTTCCGAGCTGACCTCTGCGGTCTCTTGTAGAGCGTCCGCTTGTCCTGGATGAGATTCATCGTGTCTCTTTTGTGAACAAGGGTGAAGCCTGTCTCCCGTTAAAACGGCGGAGTGGTTTCCTGATTGTGCTTGACCTTTCTTGACAATTCACGATTTGTTTAAAATGAAGGCCATTTTGGACTTCACACTGTCGTCTGGTGCTGGAGACGCCGTGTAAACTCAATCCTGTAATCCAGGATGCGCAGGCAGGCGTATGATTTTACGAAAAATCTGGAGTATTGTCGCACTTTTTTTCTGTCGGGCGCGGGAAGCCGAAAAAATTCGGTGAAATCGGCATCCTTGTAAAGAGACGCGCGAAGGTCAGTAATAGCGGCTCTGATTTCTTGTAACAGGTTTAATTATATTTTTTTTTCTTCTAATTAGTGAATAAATTAAGGCGTGTTTACATTTTCTTACAAATTAATATACTGATGGGTTTTCGGTGCCACGGGAACTTTGTTTCCGAAATCTCAAACCCGATGCCCGCCTTTGTACTATTGCCCGGTTAGTCGTGGAATCTTGCCTGAATCCCAAATGGCCGTTTAAAAGGAACATTTTGATAACATCGCGCTATGCTTGGGGCCCTAAACTCGTCAAACACGAAGTCGGAGCCGAAAGTTCGCGGAGCGCGTTGATTGGACGCTGGCGACAAAAGCGCGAAGTCATCGTCGGGATAGGCCAGGGCCAATCGGTGTGCCTTGTGAACCTCGGCCCCAACTTTGTGTTTGGCGAGTTTAGAGCCCCAGGGCCTCTAAACTCGTCAAACACAAAGTTGAGGCCGAAGTTGACGGAGCGCACCGATTGGTCTATCACGACGATGACTTCGCGCTTTTTTCGCCGACGTCCAATCAGCGCGCTCTGCGAACTTTCGGCTCCAACTTTGTGTTTGACGAGTTTAGGGCCCCTGAGGCTCTAAACTCGTCAAACACAAAGTTGGGGCCGAAGTTCACGGAGCGCCCTGATTGGACTATCACGACGATGACTTTGCGCTTTTGTCGCCGGTGTCCAATCGGCGCGCGCTGCGAACTTTCGACTCCAACTCTGTGTTTGACGAGTTTAAAGCCCCTGGTCTCATCATAAGTCAGAGCGTCGTCGAAGGTTCGAGCACACGGGAACACGGATACTAAAAATCGCAAGTGACTGGGCATTCGCTGCGCTTGATTAGATCAATTCGATCATAGAACACATAGAGAAAGACGACGAATACCACGCGTTGCGTTTTTGAGGCTGTTTGGTTGCAGAAAGGTGACGAACGCCTTGACATTGTGCGTTTAACACTGTTTGGTTGGTCCCACTGACTCGCAGCGTCGGCCGCGCTCTAATATATCAACATGTCGTGTGTGTGTGTGTGTTTTAACGTAGTTGATTGAAAGAGTTTACCTTTTCATTTCTGGTGGTGATAACTTGGTTTGTAAACACGGCGCCTAATAACAATTGTCGTCATATTTCCACGAGTGGACTTTGAAAGTTCTTGTCTTATCGTTTGCCACTCGATGCAGTCTATCGTTGTCGCAAAGAGGAAGAAAGAGAAGCGTGTTCGTTGTCCATTATCTCCTCTGTTTCGGCCGAACGGCGAGGAAAGCAAAAAGTGAACTGTAAAGATGTTTAGCAACAAGAAACGCGCGCGACCTTCCGAAGCGCCAGCGAGCCATGTCTTCTTGACGATGGACCGCAGTGGGCATTTTGGCTTTTGGGGAAGATACCAGCCTCGAGAGGTCGAGCAGTTTTGGGGAAATGTTTAGGGGGCTTGGTGATAAATGTTCTATGCACAACTTTCTTTTGGCAAAATGCGGCGCAAGACAGGGACAGAGTAAGGGAGACAACACGAAGCGCTACTTTGAACTAAATGTTTATTGAAACAACAAACACTGTTTACACACGCAATCGGGCTTCTCAAGCAAGAATTCGAATTCCTTGTCTCTTAAATGGACTGACGGGGCACCTATTCATCTGTCATCCCCCTGCAATCTAAAGTTAAATGACTCGTACTGCTCTCTCTCGACATTTTGCTTCTTAGCTTTCCCTAACCTAACCTAACCAGCTGGCCCACCTGTCACTATTGATGCACAACTTCTCGGTCTATCGGCAAATTTACATGAACCATTGACCGTAAACGAACCAATGGAAGTTCCAATCATAAATCTTATTCGGCCGTAGAATGCGAAGACACACCTTTGTCATCATTATTAAAGAATTGTTCCTTCTGTCTTTTTTTTTTTTTTTTATACGAACTTGGTGGGTGATTTTGGCGAGATGCGGACGTCTTTCTTTTTTTTTTTTTTTTGTTGTTGCCCTGGCAAGAAAGCGATGCCCTCTTGGTGGTGCTCCGTGTTTCTACAGCTTTGATCACGTATACAAGGAAACATGCACTGAAGTGTCGTCGAAGTTATCGCATCCGCGCTGAAGGCAAACAGTAGTTCGTCTCGACTTTGAATTAACCGCAAAGGCTACAGCGCGAATGCGTAGCTTGACTGGATCGAAAGCTCGTGCTTTGCCTTTGCGGTTATTCTATGTTAAGGTGAGACGAAGTAATCACCTGCTAGAACCGACCGCAAAAAGGCGTAATTCATGCAAAGTTCAGTACACTGGCCACATACGCCGAAATTGTACCGACTCATTCCGCAGAGCTCTAAAAATATGCCCAGACTGTCGCTAATTCGCTCTTTCTCTCTTCCCTTTCTTTTTTTTTTTTTTTTTAATACAAAATTTAAACGAACGAGACGCAAATAAATAGGAGTCCAGTTGGAGTAGGGTTAAGAACCATGTTGAATTAACATACCGGGGTAGAAGAGAAACATCAAAACCTAAAAGGGACAAAAAATAGACGTCTATTTTCTGACCCGCCTCCTGCACACCATATTTTCTCAGGTTTATGAATTTCTGCAAATTAAGCTGCGCCTTTGTGCGCTTTTGGTGCAACAGCACAAAAGAAAAGTGTCCGGCAACAGGTCGCTGCCGCGGAATCGACGGATATGTGCTCATGGTGTGCTCGAAGATAAATACCAGCCGCTCGCTTGTCCTTTGCGCTGTAATTTCTACATATGGCAATTGGCCAC